ACAGACCACAACATGACACAACATAGCATGCCAGAACATTACACGAGCATGACAAAACATTGCAGACCATGTGATAGCAACGACCGACAACATAGGGCAGACCATAAACTCACATAACATACCAGAGCAGAACCTGGCACCATAACATAACACATCCGATCATAACATACCACATCTTGACAGATCATCTCATATCAGGGCGCATCACCATAGCATATCATAGCACGACAACATAGCATAGCGAAACATCATAACATGACATAACAGGATATATTGTCCCAGTGCGAACCTACCTGCGAGTTGGAACAGTTAGGGGATCAACATCTACATCTACACCGACAGCTACAGTTACATCAACGCCTGCACTTACATCTACATCAACATCAACAGCGAGACTCACATGCTATACTGTGCTATGCTATACTATGCTGAGCTGTGGTATGCTATTATATGCTTGGCTGTCATATGCTATGCTATGCCATGCTATGCTGTGTTAGTGCTGCGCTGCGCTATGCTGCGCTGCGCTAAGCTAAGGTAAGCTAGGCCAAGCTAAGCTAGGCTAGGCCAGGCAAAACTAAGCTGAGCTAAGCTGAGCTTAGCTAAGCTGGGTGAACCCAGGGGGCGCAACTGGGGGAACCGCGGGGCGGATGCTGGTGGAACCGCCCGGGGCGCTTTCCACTGCCCGGCCCCTTAAAGCCCAGAGAGTAAGAACCCTTCTAGGCAGAGCCTAGGTATGGAACTATACAGAACCGAACTCACAACAAACATAACGTCACATGAGATGCCAGAGCAGAATATGGCAGAACAGAAAACGATTGAACACGCGACCAGAGAACATAACCGAACATATAATAACACACCTGCTTCTTCTTGTTCTGATCTCGGGCCAAGGTGCCGCCGCCCACCCACGACTACACTGCTACTGCCCGCCGCCCTGCGTGCGCGCATGGGTTCAAAATTGGAGGCCGAGTTCTAGAGCTGCGAGTTCGGCTACAAAAGCGGAGTAGACGCACTGAAGGCAACGCCCGGCCCTATGAGCCAGCGCCCTTCCCTCCCCAGGCCGGTAGATATACAGCGCAACTCCTGCGGCAACATATTTGCCACCTCGGAGCGCTCCATCGACGCGCAATCGGAGATTAGCCCCTACCTTCACTTGCTCCTCCGGCTGCTGTCCCAAATTGTCTGTCCAGTCGGTCCCGGTATCGAGTGCGTGATTTGCCGCGCGGTGCGCAGTAGCGTTGAAATCGCGAGGGCCCCACTCCGCGAATCCTCCTGCGTTTTGCCGCGGTCGCGAACCTCTGTGCAAGAACTCGTGCAAATGCCGGGCAATTCGAATGCAAATCGGCCGTGCATCATCCACTTCAGACGCATATTTGCCGGAGAACAGCTCTGCCACTTGCTGGTTGTCTGTCTGGGCCCGCAGACGCCTCGCTCCAGCGTCCCGCTGCTCCTCCCGAGGGTTGTGCAGTAGTGGCGGTACCTCCCGGATCGTTGCCCCAAGTTTGATCGCGGTCCAATGCGCCCCCGCCCCGTCCGCCGCATCAGCTCCCAGCCAAGGAAGTCGCCAGGCAGAGGCAAGTAGCTCGAGGAATTTGGGAAACTTCGCCATGCATTCTGAAAGACTTCGGCGTGTCGCTCGCTGGTCACATCTCCATCGGCGCCCCCGTGCACTTATGAAGGGGTTGTCCCTATCTGGCGGCTGCTTCCCGCAACTCGTTCGCTGCCCAGCTCGCGCCTGTTGTGTTCCGGTGCTATGGCTTTGCACGTCCCCCACCACTCCGCGCTTCGACATTCCCGAAGTGCTTTAGTCGGATTCGCGACGTCCGCCACCTGGGATAAAATCTCCTTCCAACCCTCCTTGAAGACACCACGAAGGACCCGGATAGCTAAGGAAGAAATGCCGTGTCTCGAACTCCATGTTTCTATCTGCCGAGCGGTCCGTGTATAGTACGATGGCTGGCCCTCATCACTCCGCCGCCCAAGTTTGAGCGCCCTCCGCAACATCTGCAACTCCCATGTCCGCAAATGGCTTAAGATATCCGCTGTGAGATGCCACGTGTCCGATGCGTGTGCCGCCGATGCAGCCGCTGTGTCCCGCCGTGCTTTCAGTCGCGATTGCATCGGAAGCGTCTTTTCTTGAAAATCACGTGGTGCACAACATCATGAGATTCTGCTCTCGTTATATTGCTACGCGTGCTCTTCCAAGTGCTGCCATACTGGTCCAACCTCGCCCCCAACAGCTCAAGCTCGTCTTTGTCGTGGCGCTCCAATACAATATCGCCCTCTTGAGCCCGCAGCCCGTCCGTAGCAACCGTCGACGCCGAACCGCAAAACATGTGCTCCAGCGACTCCGGTTTCCAGGAGAAACACGGTCGGTCAGTTGCTTCTCCCCCACGGTGCCGTCTCTGGCTAGTCACTCCGTACACCATGTGCTGCATCTGGGACAGGTCAATCGCGAACAAGATGATGCTGTCTGCCCATATCGCGTGTGTGAGGCGGAAGCCTTCTTCGTCAGGCGCGGCATCGAATTCGGAGCCGCACCCAAGCTGACTCCAAAGACCAAACAATAGGTTCCAACAAGTATTCTAACATTGTCCTGAACTCGTCCGGGGTCTCTGCTCCACCCTGCTTGCCTCCTCTCTGGAACTGGAAAAAAAACGTGCTCCCACACATCGGCAAAGTGATACGACCGTGCATGTGCGACAACTCCCGAATGTGCAACCACGCATCATGTACTTTCACGCCTCGCCCAAGCTATGCCTCCAAAGTCAGGTCGTGGAGCATGGCGTCGAACGCTGTCTTGATGTCTTGGGCTGCGACAATTAACAATACGTTCCACACCCTAGAGTAGTGGCAGGCTTCGCGGACCAACCCAACCATATCCGATACAGACGTTTTTGGGCGAAATCCGTACTACAATACCGCACTGGGATTAATTTTGCCACGGAGCCGCGGCTGCAATGATCGTAAGAACCACTTCTGCAATACCACTGATTTGCAGATCCACCTAAAATCTTTGTAAGTGTCCGGCATTCTCGTTTTAGGTAAACCTATGAATTCCAATATTTTCCAAAAAGGCGACGTACAATCGATCCGGCCCGCTGTTGCATACTCGTTGAACCGTTGAACATATCGTGCACGTGGGCAACCGCCATGAAGGGGAGCTGCTTGTACACGTCTGGCGTGATTTTGTCGGACCCAGGTGCCGAGCCACTCTTAAGCTTTGCCCGCGCCTGCAGCGTCTCCAAATATTCGATGTGCTCCAGCCTGCGCCCATCGAGTCGGTCACTTGCTACGGCGCTCTCTAATGCCGCCAGTCTCTCCTGCTGAGTTTCTGGGCCGTTGCATGCATCCCCAAAGCGTTTGGCCCCGAAGCCATAAGCACCCTTCAACCACATATTTCTGTCGGCGGTCCTCGTTCCATCCACTGTGAGGGCGACGGGTGCAAATTCAACAGGAGCCGCGTGCTTCTTCAAGGCGCAAATGTGCTTCAACGTATTGCGCTTTCTAAGCGCCTTCAAAGGTCCCCATGATCTGCGCATGAGCAGTTTGCGCTCGGACTCTGATCCGGCCATGCGTACTTACGCCCTCAGTTCAAGAAGTTCTTGCCGCCGGTGGCGCGGGTCAAGTGCAGCACCTCCACGCTGTTCTAATCCATAGAACGTGCCACTTACTGTAAGAAGGTCCTTCTCGTATTCTCGTATGCAGGAAGCTGTAGATCGGAAAAGCAAGGCCGCACCACGTACTCTTGAAATCGCTCCAACATCTTGGGGTCGCTGAAAGGACGTTTGGGCAGTGAGGACGTCGACGACGGAGCTAAACTGGGAGTGGGTGTAGCCGATAACCATTCCAGGTTTGCTCGCACAGGCCGGTGGTCCATGCCCACTGTCAAATAACGCTCTGATGTAACATCCCGTATGTTTATGGGCCATGCCAGCCCCAGTATATCTGGAGACGCCGCGATGAAATCGATTTGCGAACGATCGGCAGCACGTCTTTTCAGACCACATGTCCAAAGCTCCCCTGAAGTATTGTCGGCATGCCATGCCATGCCATATCATAGCATGGCACCTTGACATGCCAATGACATACTTTGACATGCCAATAACACACCTTGACTTGCCATGCCATGCCATATCATATCATAGCATGGCATGCCAATAACACACCTTGACATGCCATGTCATAGCATGGCACCAAATCACATAATACATCATAACACGGCAGCAGGGCATAGCCACGACGAACACGACAGAACAAAACATGATACATCAGAGCATGACAGATCAGAACTCGAGCATGACAGAGTATGGCAATGTCATAACAAACTCATGACACAACACTATATCACATACTATGCCAGAGGAGAACATGACAGACCAGACGACGACATAACACAACATAACACAGCATAAGTGAGCATAACATGACACCCCTTGACCGAACATACCACATCATGAGACAGCATCACATAGCATATCATAACACGACAGCAGAGCATAGCGACACATACCAGAACAGCACAACACACTATACTATGCAAAGCTGAGCCCTCAACACGCACAACATCAGAACACACACCATAACATAACATGGCATACCAAAAGACGGCATAACACACTATACCATACCAGAACCGGTCATACCATAACACACTTTGGTCATAATAACAAACCGAGCTGTCAACAGCATCACGGAATCGGGCATTCTAGAACATAGCCTGACATACATGCCATACCATAGTGCCGCAGAGCAGACCATGTCATAACATCTCAAAACATATGGTGACACACGTGAGCATACCATAACACACGCAATCAGCAGGTAAAAAAATGAAGAGGAACATCAGAACAGACGACGCATCTAACGTCACATACGTCACGACTTCACGCCGTCCCGTCGAACACACAACAGGACATACTAAAGCATACCATGAAAGAACGTGAGTACATGGAATAAGGTTGAACCGTTTGGTTTCGAGAAACGGCAATTGTGCAGTGGCGGAGAGGAATACAACGACAGAGCAGGACAACAAAACATACTGACAGAGCAAGTCATACTATACGAATCTGAACTGAGCCATCAACAGCATCAAGGAACAGAGCATACTATACCATAACCTGGCAGAACATATCATGTCCTAGCATGGTGCGGCAGAATAGAGCATACCAGAACATGCCAATGCATACTGTGGCAACAACCAACATGACATAACATACTTTAACGGAAAAGATGACGAAAGGGCAGAGGGATATCATAACGAAACGTACCGTACGTACACGTTGGTCAGCTTGGCCACAGGAACCAACAGTCACAGCAATGATCGTTTCGACGTTGTATCTAACGTGACAAGCGTCACGACGTCACGCCAGCCCGTCGATATCATAACATCACATAACACAGTGTCACATATAACATTGGGGCAGAACCCTGCCACACACACACTCACACCATAGCACAACATCACGTATGCAGTAGTCACCACTCCGCGGCGTCGCCCAGGCGTCACGACGTCACGCCGGCCCGTCGAGAACAGAACAGGACATAGTAGAGCATCACACGGTAGAACGCTACTACATGGAACATTGTGGAAGCGAAAGGCGTCGCGAAGTCACGCTGGCCCGCCGAGATCACAACATCAAAGAACACAGCATCACAGACTGCATCGGAGCAGGATCCAACCAAACCCATTGTAGCACAACATCACCTATACAATAGCCACCACTCCACGGCGTCGCCCAAGCGTCACAACGTAATGTTGGCCCGTCGAGGACAGAACCGGACATAAAACATCATATATTGATAGACAATTACCACATGGACCATTGTCGAACACTTGTGAATACAGCAACGGCAGTAGAGGAGAGGAGTATCACGACAGAACAAGACATGGCAAACCACAGAAAAAGATGAGATCTGACTATTCTGTACTGAGCTGAACCGTCAACAGCATCACGGAACATAGCATAGTAGAACATAGCCTAACAGAACATATCATGTCCTAACATGGTGCCCCAGAGTACAGCGAACCGACTACGTATCTAACGTGACAAGCGTCACGACTTCACGCCAGCCCGTCGAGATCAGAACATCACATAACACAATACCACATGTTGCATTGCGGCATATTCCAATCAAACACGCCATAGCACAACATCACGTATGCAGTAGTCACCACTCCACGGCCTCGCCCAGGGGTCACGACGTCGGGCCAGCCCGTCGAGGTCAGAACATAACAGAGCACAGTGTCACATACTACCTTGGGCCAAAATCCAACGAAACACACTACAGCACAACATCACGTATACAATCGCCACCGCTGCACGGCGCCGCCCCGTCGTCAGCCTCATCACAGGGACAAACAGGCGCAGCAATGACCGATTCGATGACGCGTCGAATGCGACAGGCGTCCCGAAGGCACACCGAGCCTCCTCATCCTTGTCCTTGCCTCCTCCTTCCCCTCCTTTTTCCCCACCTGACAGGTTGGGGTTGTTATATAGATTTCAAGAGCAGGCTCCCTGGCCAACTTCAGCCTGCATACCGCGGTCGCCAGACCTCAAGTTGTCGCGATGGTCCTGGGTATCCCGCCTCGCGCCCGCCTCGCGCCTGGCCATACCGCGGCCGGCAGACACCAAGTTGTCCCGATGATCCCCGAGAGTCCTGGGTGTCCCGCCTCGCGCCCTCGACGAACACGACAGGACACAACATGACAGAACAGAACATGACAGAACGGAACAGAGTATGACAGAACATCACATACCATGTCATATCCAAATCATGCCTACGTAGAGCATGACAAAACATCACACAACATACCAGAGCAGAACATGACATAACAGAACACGACAGACCACTACATACTACAACAGGACCGAGCATAACATAATGCACCTTGACATAACATATCATTTCACGACATAACATCACAGACAATGCGCCGATCCGGCGTGTGAGTTTCTGAGAGCATGGACGTGAGCCCGCTCAAGCTTCGCTCTGCAAGGGGGGGGACGCCATTCCCGACGCACTTAGTGCTCGGGGGCGAAGGGGCCCACAGGCCCCCAAGAAGCCCCCAGGAGGCTCTGGAGGGAGGGGGTGAAGCCATTCCTGACGCATTTAGTGCTCGGGGGCAGGGGGGCCCACAGGCCACAGGCCCCCAAGAAGCCCCCAGGAGGCCTCAGAAGGCCCCCAAGAGGCCCGACAGAGGCCCCAGGAAGCTCCAAAACGACCCTCAAGAGGATTCCCCAGGTCCCTTGCTCAATCCCCTGAGCCTCAGTCCTCAAGCCTGAGGATTCTGAATGGGCCCGGACCCCAAGCTCTCAAATCTCTTGAGGCTCCCCGCGCGCCCTCTGGGCCCCCCAGAATGTTTCCGCATGCATTTGTCGAGCCCAAGAAAAGCCCAAGACGGGCCATCAGGGCCCCAAGAGGCCTTCAAGACGGCCCAAGAAAGCCCCGAATCACCGAACGATCGGTCCAAGACGCCCAAGATGGCCCCAGGGCCATTACCATGATAATAAACATCATCATAATCATCATAATCATCATCGTCATCATCATCACCATCATTATCTGTAGCGCCCCGGATCGGCGGCACTGGCCGAAGGCCAGTACAACATCATATTACGGCAGCAGAGCATACCGACGACGAGCACGACAGAACACAACATGACTCAACATAACATGATAGAACATAACACGAGCATGACAGACCATCGCGGAACAGACCATAGCAATGGCCCGACAATATAGAGCATACCATAACATCACATAACATACCAGAGCAGAACATGACATAACAGACAACGGCAGAGCACAACATAACCGAGAGGCACATAAAACACCTTGACTGAACAACATATACCCTGGCACAACATCACTCAAAATATCACAACACGACCGCAAAACATAGCGACGACGAACACGGCATAAAACAGCATGACACATCAGAGCATGACAGAACATAACACGAACATGACATAACATACCATCGCAATGTCACGACAAAACAAGGCAGAACAGCACATCCCATAACACACCATATCAACATGACAGAACAGAAGACGACACAACGCAACATAACACAACATAGCCCAGCATAGCATAACACACCCTGGCAGAACAAATCGTATCATGACACAGCATCATCGAACATTTCATACTGAGGGAGTAAAGCATAACGACACGTACTAACAACGCATATCATATTATACAAACACAACAGAGCAGGGCCGTCAACAAACATAACAACACATAACATACCAGAGCATAACATGACAGAACAGCAAACGACAGAACACCACATAACAGAACATACCCGAACATAACATAATACACCTTGACAAAACAGATCATATCATGGCAAATCCTCAGTGGGCCCTGGAAACGGCAGGGACATTCCTTCACCGTTTCCGAAGAAGTGTCTCTTGAGAATGGAAGCGGGGAAAAAACTCGGGATCGGCCAAGAGGGGGGTGTTCAAGAGGGGGGGGTGCAAATCAAATCATGACCGGCGGCATGTGCGCGGCCCAGCGGGGGGTCACGGACGTAATGAAATGATAAGAGGCGCCATGAAATCTGGGGAAATATCATGGCCCCCGCCATGATATCCACCCCCCCTAATCATCACCCCCCTCTTTGCCGCCCCCGAAAACAGCAACAGGAAACGGCCAAAAAACGGCTACAGGATTGGAACCGGAGCCGGAACTGGTAAAACAACGGCGTCGGAACCGGCAACAAAAACGGCAAAACGGAACCCGTAAAAAAAGGGCCTGTCGTTTCCAGGGCCCACTAAGGACAGAACATATCATAACACGACAGCAGAGCATAGCGACGCCGAACACGACAGAACGCAACATGACACAACAGAACATGACAGAACAGAACACGAGCATGACAGAACATGGCACAAGCGAACATAGCAATGGCATGACAAAATAGAACATAGCATAACATCACAGAACATACCATAGCAGAACTTGACATAACAGAAGACGACAAAGCACAACATAACAGACAATAACCGAGGATAACACACTACACCTTAACATAACAATTCAGATCAAGGCACAACATCACATAACATATCATAACACGGCAACAGAGCATAGCGACACATACTAGCAGAGCAGACCATACTGTACTATACAGAGCCGGACAGCCAACAAACATGCATCACAAAACACACCAGAGCAGAACATTACATAACATAAGACGACATAATACAACATGCCATAAGATACCATAACCAATCACACCATACCATACCTTGACATAACATATTATATCATATCAGGTCAGCATCACACAACATAGCATAACACGGCAGCAAAGCACAGCGAAACATACTAGCAGAGCATCTCATACTAAACTATACAGAGCCGAGTTGTCAACACCATCAGTTAACAAAACATAGTATAGCATAACCTGACGTAATATATCATGTCGTAGCATAGCGTCGCATAGCATATCATACCAGACCATCTCAAACTATATGGTGACAGAAATGAGCGTAACATAACATACTCAATTATTCGAGAAACGCTAGTGCAAAAGAACATCATAACAGACGACGCAACGGACGTCACTGGCGTCACGACGTCACGCTGGCCTGTCGAGAACAGAACAGGACATAGTACATAAAACACAACATGAAAGAAAAAGACTACATGGAACACGGCTGAACCGTTTTTCCATCCAAAAACGGCAACTGTTGACCAATTGGGCGACCGCGCGGAGTCGGGAACAAACGCTCGAAGTCTCCGTGGGGGTCGCTCGAAGCAAAATCCGCCGGCCCCTTTGTGGGGCCACCAGGCTGTAGGCCGAAGCTTCGCAGTTTCCTGTAACCAGTTGCAGCTTCCAGTTTCCACTGTTATAATTCGGCTTCTTGCTGCTTGCTGTTCCCTGTTGATGGACCGCGGGAGGGGGGGGAGGCCCAAGCGGGCAGGTTTAGCACGCCCTGAGCGTGTGCTCTGAATTGCTGGGGTGGGAAAAATGGTCACCCCTCACGCAGATCGGCGAGGTAAGGGTCCAAAAAACACATGGGATTTGCCACATTGCTGAATTCGGTGGCACCCCTCATGCAGATCGGCGGGGTCAGGGTCCAAGAACACATGGGGTTTGCCACGTTCCTAAATGTTGCTGGCACCCCTCACGCAGATCGGCGGGGTCAGGGTCCAAAACCATATGGGATGTGCAACATTTCTGACATTCGGTGGCACCCCTCACGCAGATCGGCGGGGTAAGGGTGCAAAAACACATCGGATTTGCTACGTTTCTTAAATTCGCTGGCACCCCTCACGCAGATCGACAGGGTCAGGGTCCAAAACCACATAGGATTTGCTATATTTCTTAAATTCGCTGGCACCCCTCACGCAGATCGGCGGGGTCAGGGTCAAAAAATATAAAGCATTTGCCACATTTCTGAAATTCAGTGGCACCCCTCACGCGGATCGACAGGGTCAGGGTCCAAAAACACATGGGATGTGTCACATTTCTGACATTTGATGGCACCTCTCACGCAGATCCGTAGGGTCAGCGTCCAAAAACACATGGGATTTGCCACATTTCTGACATTCGGTGGCACCCCTCACGCAGATCCGTAGGGTCAGGGTCGAAAAACACACAGGTCCCTTCACTGCTTCACGGCGGCGCCGAGACCTCATGATTTAGCTTTTGCATCTCCCATTATCCGAGACAAGGGGCCGGCGGCATGGGGCGAAGCCCTTACGGATAATTGCTTTTGCTGTCTACCTGGGGTCCCGCTGCGTAGGAGAAGCGGAGTTCTCCTGATTGCGCGCGCCATCTGCCAGCGGGTCCCAATCTTTCCCAGAAATTCGCGGTTGGCCCCCAACGGGCTCGAGCTGCCGTCCCATCGTGCTGACGCAGTCTGCCTTACTCCTCCCCTCCTCTCCTTTTGGCTCCATTCTCCTCTCATCAACTCTATGCTCGTGTGGGTCCTGTGGGGTACCTTCTCTGGCACTGGCCGTGGGGACCTGTCTACGCACGCGAGAGAGTCAGTTCACAATTGCCCGCTGGCTTCTCCCTTCTGTCGCCTCGTCTTCCCTCGTCTCATCCCTCCCCCTCCACCTCGTCTCCTCTCGTGGAGTGCAGTGTGGATTCAGTATCGTTGGCCGTTTGGGCCTCAGGGGATATTCGCATGCAGCACGTTCGCTTTCTCCTGCAGGCCACGCTTCACTGCATGAATTTGCCTATCGCAGGTAGGCTTGTGTGGGGGTCATGGTTTGCCTGGCGACCTTTGATTCGAACAGCGGTTGAGACCAAGTCGTGCCGACTTGCTATGTGTTTGGACAATCGCGCCAAACCAACACGTCCGCGATTGCCCTCGGCTATCCACTCGGCTGCGTCCCTGAGTCGACACCCTCAGGCTCGAAACTGACAGCCGCCGAGGAAGGGCCACCGAGGCGGAATAGCAAGCAGTCGATTATATGACATTCAATCCCCTTGGGTGGGTGGGCGGACTGGGGAACGCCTCGTGGACCACATCAATGTGCAAATCTATCAAATACTGGGAAAGGGAGCTCCACCGCGGATTGCGGTCTGTCCCCCCTCTGAGAAAAGCAACATGCCGGCACTGAACTAGGCGCTGGTTCAAACGGCCTGCCCCCAACAAAAAACAAGGGGAGAGGGGGTGCCTCTGGAAACCAACTTGGAGCCACTTCGAACCTACCAATGATGAGCATCACAAATCCGCTGGCCCCCGCTTGCCAGGGATGAGAATACGTGTGAGATGATCGGCTGTCCTCCTCCCTCTTTTGCGCCTCCCCAGAATCCAAAATCCCGTTTTAAGGTTGGGGTGGGGTAGGGTGGGGGGGGGTGTCGGGGTATCTGGGCTCCCTGGCACATCCTCAGAGACTCCGGAGCTTCCAAATATGCCTTCCGCGGCCTCCACAACGTTCCAAGACGCTCCCGAATCGCGGAACGATTGGCCTAAGACGCCTACGATAGCTCCAAGACGCCCCAAAACGCCTTGGAGACGCCCCCTGACACTGTGCCTCCCCAAGAGGGCTCCGGGAGGCACAAATCAGTGGTTACCGTCTTCTCGAGCTTCCGACGCTCGGCTCAAGAAGCCCCGTAGACCGCCTCAAAACCGCTCAAGAGGCCCCAACGAGGGCCCCGGGACGGCTAAAGCTCGCCCAAGCAGAGGCGAAGAGGGCGAACACGAACCGAACATCCTATCTTTCCGCCCCAAAGAGCCTCACAAAGGCCCCAAAAAACTCCCAAGCGGCCCAGATGAAACTACCAACAAACCCCAAGAGGCCTCCAAGAGGCCCAAAAGAGGCCGCAAGGCGGCCCCCGACACGCTTCAAAACTGCCTCCAACAGGCTTCGCCAGGCCTCCAAACAACTCCCCAGACGTCCACAATAACCCCCACATAATGAACAAGGAACCCACGACGCCTCAACCGCGGACTCCAAGCCTCTTCTGGGTGTCAGCGGAATGGCGCAAACCTCTTGGAAAATACTGATACGCATAGTGAAGGATAGCAGGTCGTCGACCGTCGACGATTGTCGCCCCTCGGAGGCCCTCCTTAGAGCCTACACCTAGCTCAGGGCCATGGAGGAGTGGATGCGCTAACACTGCAGAATGAGAAAGGACAAGAGAAACCGAGCGAGACGTTGAAACTAAGACCACGCGGTCCGATGATGTGCCGCAACCGTCACGAAAGGGGACAGCCGGACCGATATATTCTGACCCATGGTTTAGGCCGACATGCCACGAAAATGCGGGTAACTCGTACGAGGCCGGATACATACTGAATGTGAACAACATGGACCTGGTGCTCACGGAACCGCTCCGAGGTGCGCTCGACGGATGAACGGGTGAGGAGGAAGGAGGAAGAAGAGGTGGAGGAACGTCCACCAACCCTCCTCCTCCTCCTCCTCCTGCCACTGCTGCCTCGCCAGGGCCTGTTGGGCGGGGCCACGCATTGTCATGTCAGAAACTGGCCATCCTTGCTCCGAGCAGCCAATGACATGAATCGCGCGCAGCAATGGGAATCAACGAACACAATAGTGAAACACAAGAAGAAAACATGAGGACGGCGACGAGGGGGTAACGACATACCGTACATGAGGAGGAACGAATAGGATCACGACAACCCTCCAATCGTCTAGGCTGCCAACGTTGCCCTGGGTCAGGAAGTCGAATGGCAAATACACGAAGTCGTACAGCCGCGCGAACCCCTGGCGCACATGGGGTGACGTGTTTTACCGCGCGGGTATACACTCGTGCGTGAATGAAACGCTTGCGTGCTGACGTGACGGGGCACGCACGCACACACGCACACACACGTGCACAAGTGTGATGAGCGTGCGTTTGCGCCCCCCGTGCTCGGATTGCAAGTGGTCCACTTTGCTATTGTAGGGCAACTGCAACGATACCTGTCAATCGGGTCCGACGTCGTGGAAATGCGCAGAAAACGCCTGCACCATCTGCAACACATGGCATCGTACACGCGCCTGACGAGTCAATGGTCATGTGAATCGGGCACGTGGTCCCATGCGGCAATTTCACAGGTTGTCCGCGCGTTGCGCGTGATACGGCGCCGATAAGGGGAAACCTGGAAGGGGCAAAACAACAGGAGGACGACGAAACGGAGGACTAAACAGAGGAAGGGAGGCCGTAAAGAGATGCAGAGCACATAAAGGGACGTATATTTTGAAACAAGGCTCAACGACAACGGCACGGGTAGCGACGGGAAAGCGAAGCCCGCTCGGTGACGGAGGCGGTTTTGCCGCATGGCTCGCGTAAGGACATTTCGAACTTGACGCTTGCAACCAACTTCTTGGCCTCTTCCCTGCTCCGCTCAGCGCGGGCATGGAAAGGTCGCAGGCACGCCGCCAAGCCAGCGGGCGGCCCATGGGCGAGAAAACTACGGATCAATTGCAAATTCTACGAGGACATGGCCCTGGACATCGTGGCGCGCGGAACTGCAACCAGATCCCGTCGATGTCGTCGACGTCATTGTAGCCGGCGTCGGCGGCGACCCGCTAGGTTATGGTTCAGACCCTGGTGGGTCGTCGACTTGAGGAACCTGGTGTGGCAACTGGGCATTGGCCTATTCGCATGGCGTTGTGCCTGTGGAAGTCGAAGGAATTGGACGTCTGCAGTTCGATGCTGACCAGCCGCGCCACACGTTGGACAGCGCTCGGGGGGAGGGGGGATAATGAGGGCGTACGTGGTTTAGATCGATTCGTGCCCCTCCCAGTGCCCCACGTCGCAACACTTCCCCACTTCCTGTGGACTGGATATGGCTGGCAAGTTGGCGCGGTGGTTACCCACAATGCACACGTGAAACATACTGTTGGGCGGAACTTCGGATTCGAGGGTTAGGGTGACCTCTTGGGACTTGTTTGTAGCACTTTTGGGGTGGTCTTGGAGCCCCGTCGGGGGGTTGTTAGGGCACTGTTGGGGCCTCTCTTGGCTTCTCTGAAAGCCTGGGAAGCCCGTTCGGGGTCGTCTTGCGTCCAGCGTGGCGTCAAGTACACGTGGTCTTGTTAGCATTTTCGCGATTTCGAGGTATCCGAATGCCTTCTTGGCATCCTCATGGTGGCCTCCGTGCCCGTCTTGGGTCTTTCCTGGGCCTACCTGGGGCCTTCATATCTTGAGGTATAGGCCTTGAACCCCGATCGGAAGCTGGAACGCGAAAAAACCAACATCGTTGAACAACATATCTTTGAAACTTGTTGGTCTCTCGGGGCATCCCGGGGAAAGCTCCGCGGCCACCTCGGGCCGTCGTCTGGCTCTCTCGAGTCCCGGTGAAGGCCATCTTAGACAATCTTGGACCATCGCGTTCCAGCTTGGTTGTTTTCTTGGAGACAGCCTTGTATTGTCTTGCCCTGCTGAGGTCAGGACGGGAGATACACACGCCAGTCCTGTGGCTGAGGGGCAGTTGCAGGGGTCGCCCCGACCTATTATAGGGAACATCCTCTCCTAGGTCTGGACGGGGGCCTGTTTGGCTCAATCATTGCACAACGTGGCCCAAGATGGGTGCCAGCATGTCTGACCAGGAGGCCCCAAGGCGGCTTCAAGGACGCCTCTAGTAGGGCAACTCAACAGTAAAACAATGTATATGGCAATGTTGTTTGTCTGCTCATCATTTCGCTTCTGATGGGCCTCTGTGGTCTCAAGGTGACTTCAAGATCTTCCAAGCGAGCCTCAGTAGGGACTAGGCACCACTAAAGGATACAAGACGGCACAACGAGCACCCAATAACGAGAAAGAGCGTCCCAAGATGGGATTGTTCGAGCTCCACAGGGGCAGTGCGATCGGGGCCGCACCCTCTCTCATTTCGAAAGCTGTCGAAACACATCAAACGTTTGGATGACTCTGACAATTCGGGGACATCCTTTGGAGGGCCTCCAAGATTTCGCGAGATGTTCCAAGGTGGGTTACGATGGCCTCCTGTTTGCCTCCAAAGACCCAGAGACGGCTCCTAGTGGCCACGGACTCTCCCAATAACGCCCCTAATGCCCCAAAACGATTCAAAACGCAATGGTTCGTCAATGTGCTTCGCCTTGTCGCCTTTTCGCTTCTGCTGGGCTTCTGGTGCCTCAAGATGGCTCAAAGATCGCCTCAGAGGGATGGGCGATGCTAATCGGTGCCGTCCCTTTTTCGATCGATGTCCCTCGAGACTGCCCATAAGGCCTCAGAGCGGGCCCCAAGAGAGCCATAGAGACCTCCCAGATGGCCTCAACAACGCCCAAATATCGACTCATATGTGTCGCAAGCGCACATTGCTTGTCCTTCTCTCTTCTCCTCTCCCGCCTCATCCTCATCCTCTTCCTCCTCCTCCTCCTCCTCCTCCTCCTCCTCCTTCTCCTTCTCCTTTTTAACCTCGTCTTCCTCCCTCCTTCGGCCTCCTCGTTCTCCTCATACATACATACAGGGCAGATCAAGAGTCACCAATCACAGATCGGAGCTCTTGCCCACTCAAGTGGGATAGGAAAATAATATGAAGGCCACCCTCGGGAGCACCCGAGAACCCTTGGGCAGGGTGCTCAACCTGAGTGGCTGACTAAATGATAGAAAGATTCCCAGGTGCATTCGGCCCGTACAGAAGCTCCCTTGGCGACTGTTCGACCACTCTCCAAGGTTTCGAAAAGCGGCATCCCTTGGGATAGGGCAGAATTCCATTCCTGAGCATGCGAAGCTGAGCACCCTTGTGGGTCGTACACGGTTCCACGAGGTGCGCCGCCCTGCCAGTGGTGTATGACCCACAACGGTTACAGTAGACAACTGCCGCACCAGTGACGCAAATCCTTCCTGCCCACAGGTCGTGGGCAGGCACAACAGGGACAGGAGGGCGCAGCACGGCAACTAATGATCGAGGCAAAGGCGTGCACGGGCCTCTGCGACATTTCCACGGCTGGTCCGTGGACCTACCACAGTCCACACACTGCCAGGAATTCAGGCCCCAGACGAAATGGTGAGGCCCGTGGATCCCACGAGCCAGCAACTTCCGCTGAGGGGCCCTGGGAACCCTTTCCAGCTCGCCGAAGACATCACGGGCACGGCCCCAGGGTCCCAAAAGAACAGCGAACGCGGAAAAAAACGTCAAGCCAGAGTTTATACCCAGCTTCGACAACTTTGACATCCTCGGGTGAGACCTGACGGGTGGCAATTTCTTTGGCAAGAGTATCGGCCCAGCAGTTACCGAGAACCCTCCTATGCTCCTCCATCGTCCTGTCTCCTCGAGCTTGTTCTTGATGTGCTTTGATTTTGTGAATACGCCAGCCCTTCATACCTGTGAGATGGTTGACCTGTCTCCAGTGCCCTGACTGGGCTTTTCTACCATCACGAGAACGTACCGCAGATAAGGCTCCAAAAACAACGGCTCCACAGTCCTGGTAAACAGTTGCTGGCTCATCGTCCGCATCAACGTGCAGATGGGCACAAGCATGCAGAAGGCCATGGTGCTCAGCTAGATTGGCATTGCACGGTACATAGGCTGGTAAAACTCCTCGAATGGCCCTAAGGAGATCTCCATTTTCGGTGACTTCTGCAGCACACCATCCCCCCCTCGCAAGAAGGGGGGCGGTGGGGTGGACGACCGAACCGTCGATAGAGATTTCCATCCCAGGGGTAGAATAGACAAATTTATCAATATCCCCACCTGTCATCTTCTGGGGGGGGCTTAATGATGGGGGGCACGGGGGTCCAGAGACAGCTGAATAGGGGGTCAGCAGGGCCAGCCTCAAGGGCACTGGCAACAAGCTCGGGATCCAGCTCGCGACGACGATCTTCCCCATACGGGCACTCCCAAACACGGTGGAAGGTGGTGTCTGGTGCACCGCAGTGCTGGCACTTAGGAGACACCTGATACCCTCTTTGATGCAAGACAGTGCCAGTACAGTAGCACCCCGTAAAAACCTGGCGCAGCATCTGCTTGGCAAAACTAGAATGCTTCTTCGAGCTCCACGCTCTGCTAACAGGATGGGTCCAAAGACCCCTGGCACGGATCTGGTCCGCTCTACTCGAACCAACACCTTCTAACTTGGCGACGACAACCCGGTGCAGCTGCTGCTGCTGGAGGTCCTGGCCAAACATTTTCTGGAGCTGCGCGGGGGGGGGCTAAGGTGAGGTTGCAAATCCTTCCACCCCTCGTTTTGACGTGTGCAGGGCCAACGAACTCCCACCCCGCAATCTTACACCAGAAAAAACATATCATGAATCGGACTAGCCGCCACACGGTGCCACGGACCAGGGGTGACTTTATCGAACTTTTCTTTGGCCAGGGTGTGAGCTTCCTTGAGCTCTCTAGCCGACAGGTTGTCGTTGGCACACAACTGGGCATCCGTGCAAGTCCACCACTCAGCACTGTACCTGCGGAGGGTGGCAGCAGCATGAAAAATAGGGTCTTTGTCTGGCGCGAGGCACCAGCAGAGATCGATGTTGGCCCCCGCCCCCCATAGACCCGTGCTCTTTGCATTCAGGAGGCGAAGGGCACGGATCTCACTAGGCGGGTGCCCCTGGATCTCTTCTCCATATGTAAGGCTCGGCTTGACGCCGCAGACAAAAATCTTTCCCTTACTAGCCGTAGTCCCCCGCATCTTTTTGATCAAGGGCAGCCTCTGGAGGCCAGCCTTCCAGCGGGCCTTGGATTTGGCCCTGGCCCCAGGAGCCGAAGGGCACCGCCCGAGGGTAAAATCGACCCCAAGGTTGATAACATGGCCAGCAATTGTCTGTCCATACTTTCCTAGCACCACAGGAGCCTGCCTGGCCACCTCGCTGGAGTTGCTGGTGAACTGCATTTTCTCGAGGGCAATAGGAAGCTCTAACTTGTTGGTCATAATATCGAATATCTGTCCAGCGAGCTGAGCCAAGGCATTCAAACATGACATGACCGACGGCATGGCCACCGAGGTCGTGATGTCGTCAATGTGAATCGTGAGGTCCTCATCCTCACCTAAGGCTAGTTCTCGCGTCGATGGCAACATAAAACCTTTGATTTCATACGTGGCAGTGGAGGATCCAGCAACAATCCCACGAGTAGGATCCAAGGGGTCACTAAGAGCCGAGTCCATCAACAGGCGACGAGGCCAACGGTAGCTGGCCAAAGTAAACCGAACCACGTGAGCTGGGAAATTGCACTTCTGGGCCTCCCCCCACCAAAGAGAGTGAGGCACGTGTTCATAGCACTGCTTGAGGTCCGCAAGGAGGACCCCAATAAATGTGCCTTGATTGTGGTGAAGATCATTCCTCACCGCCTGGCGCCAGACCGCATCGGTCGTAGACCTATGTGGGGCCATATTGAAAAAAGGGCTGGCAGCGCACCGAGATTCCCACCTCCTGCAGGCATTGGCCATGTTCTTAGAATACAGCCGAGTCGTCGACTGGTAAAAGCCAATAGGTCTACGCCCTTCGAGGGGTTTCCGATGCAACGCCACAATCAACTGACGAAGCGACAAAGGGGCATTCCCAAGGACATTCATGGCCGTGAACACCCCCGAGAGCACACGAAGGGCCCCGTCCCCAAGGGCACAGAAATGGCGGGGGTGGAATCCATCAATGGAGATGGTCGCCGTTTTGAAACTCCTCGACAAGCTTCTGAGCTCTTCAACTCCTGGGCCCGCAGGGACTAAAATCGAATCTTCACCTTCCAGGGAGAGGGGGGCCTCGCGGCCGACCCCCCACGCCTCTTTCCAGGTGGTGATCTGGTGAGAAAACCTACTGAAGAAGGATGCCGAGACTGTGCCGTCAGCCTCAGTGATGACATCGTCCTTATACTCCTGTGCAAGCCTAGTAAACTGGTGGGCGCGGGATGCGCCACCACTCAAAGCTTCCTCGCACCATTTTGACCACCCGACGTTTTGGCGCACCCTCTCTTTCTTGAAACATTCGCTCTCCAACTCAAAGAGATGGGCGATGCAAGAATCCAAACCTTCCATGTCCCAGGTCCCCTCGTCCCAAGCCCAATACGCAACGAGGAGAGGTCCTAAAGCCTGCTGCACAAGCTCGTGGGCGAAGGCTCTGCCAGCAGGCCAGAACCTAGCGAAGGGTCCTCCCCGCTTCTTGACATTGCGAGTGTGACGCAGCAGAACATACGTACCATGAAGGTACCTGCGCTCAGGATTGGACAGAAGGGACTTCAACTCCTGCAGACGCCTGGCAAGCCAACCTATGCACCTAGATTCGGACTGCCGAGGATTTTCTTTGGTAATGAGGAGGGTACGTAAATCAACTTCCTGAACTTCATAAGGCAAACCCCCTTGACGCCCCGAGGTGACGGGTTGGTGGTACACATCCTTGAGCTCCCCCCAGGACCGAATGCACCACTCATCGTAGATCTCTGAAAGCCGGTTTTCCAGAGGCTGTTTTTCCGCGGGGGTAGGGGTTCTAAACATATCATCGTTACTTTGAAAAATATCCAGGGCCTGATTTATCTGCAGCTCGAGGTCCGCATAATCAGGTGGAGGTAACGATGGCCCACAAGGAAGAGCAACTGGCAGACACTCGAACTTGGCAAGTTTGTTCACTTTCAAGGAAAACGTTTCCGAAGTGAGGTGAAGATCCACTGCCTTGTGGGGATACACGTCGTTCGAGAGATCTGCCGCCACTGATAAAAAGGCCTTCACCAGCGGCTTGCTCAAAATGAAATAATCCAAAGTCCCATGCGTATCCTGAACACTGCAGGTGTGCACCAATGGATCGAAAACAGCTTCGCCTCCGAAGCGATCTGGTTCCAGTCCGACATTGACTTCGCCAGGTGTTAAATTGAAGTCGCCGCCTGCCACGAATGGCAGCCCTCGTGTAAGAATATGATGTCCCAGCTCCCGACAGACGTCCAGGTTCTTCTTTCCAAGGCCGACCGCGGTGTGCCAGTAATTGCTGTAGAGGGAAATCAACCCAAAACTGCGAGTGCGACAGAAGGCATGGAGGACCCGACCAGGGACGACAATGCCTTTGCCATTCTCTTGCCACACATCAAGATAGCTTCTAACAAGTATAGCTACTCCCCCCGAGGCGAAGCCTGCCTCGGTAGCGAGGGCTGGAGCCCAGAAGCTGTTCCAACCTAGTTTGCGGGCCTTGGACTTGGCCTCTAAAATTTTTGGTCGGAACAACTTGTGCTCCTGGACGAAAATCACATGGGCCCTGGAGGCCTTAGCGCATTCGAGGGCCCGTCCCCAACTCGACGCGTTAACCGTGCAAAAATGGAAAGACGGGCCACCCGAAACTGGATGCGGGGGGTCAGGAGGACGACGGGGCGAGACAGCCTGATCATCCTCCAGGTGTGTGCTAAAAAGACTCCCTTGGATCCTTCGCACCGCCCCCGCTAGCTGCTGGGCCTCTGGCTGCCCTGCGGCTGCGAGGGCTGCGAGAGGCTCGATTCGGCTGCTCAAATTCGCCTGCAGCTCCAGCCCCACGTGGTAGATCCTCTCCTCCACCTGGAGCAGCTGCTGCTGGGCCACGAACGGCGACCGCGGGCCCGCTACGCGGGGGCCCTTCTGGCAACGCCAGCTGCCCTCCTGCCTCTTGCTGGGCGCCACCAGGAGTCCCAGGGGCATCTCCAAGAACACCTCCATGGACTGCTGCAGCCTCTGGCGCCCCTGGAGAAGATGGCGCCCCACCTGCGCCGAAGAGAGGACCGAGTACCTGAAGGGCCCGCTGTACCGTACTGGGATCAAGGCCCGTGTCCTTCGCCTTCTGTAGAGCTGCGGCCTCCATGGCATCAGCACGCATGAGGTTGAAGAACTGCTCCGGAGTAGGTGAAGGGCTGCGTGGCCTGTCTCGCTCAGCCGCTTGCGCCACGTCCTGCACCTCCTGGGCACGGCGCGTCTCCACGACCAGCTCATCGCGTTTCTTTTGCGCCTCAGCAAGGCTCTCCTTTGCCTCAGCCAAGGCACGTTCTTGTACTCGAAGATGTGCTTGTGCATTCTGAACCTTTGTCTCGAGAAGTCCGACCGACTTCGAATGTGACTCCACTTGTTTCTCAACTTTGGAGAGTTTCCCACTGGCCACCAGCAGGCGCTGGCTCTCCGACTTGGCGCTGTCACGAACCTGCCGAAGATTGTGAAGCTTGAGCTGCAATGACTTGGCTGCATCGCTGTCTGGTCCACCTTCTTGCTTGATGAGCACATCATATGCCCGTTGTAAAACTTGTATGTCTTGACCGACATTGGCTGGCTTACGCTGCTCCCTGTCCATGTTGACATCAAAGAGGTCACCGTCGACTGGGGCACGAGCAGCAGCAGGAGGAAGAGGACCACCGCCAGGAGAGTCGGTACGTTCCTCACTACCTTTGCCTCCCTTCTGTCGCTTGCCACGCCCTTTCTTGCCTTTGCCTTTCTTTCTGCCATCCTTGCCGTCACCGACCTTGGCGTCTGCCCCACGGGGACTGTCCCCCCCGCTTTGAGGCTGCCATCCCGTAGCCGTGTGCGTCCAGTGCGAGCCGCACCTCCAGCACCAGTGAAGGTTGCGACTGGTTGTAGCCTGGCACTCCGAACATGTCCAGGAGAAGTCGCGAGGCGCCTTGGCCCTGCTCCCCATTGCGGCAGACAGCTGGAGGGCGGAAGAAATGGAATGTACAGAATCGTGAGTGATATGGCTGGCCTTCGACCTGGCTGCTTAGCCAGTCGAAGGGAAGGGAAAGCTGGGAACCCCTGGCTGGGCAGCCGTCTGCTGGGGCCCCCGATGTACTTGGTCACTGAAACCTCCTCCTTGAGCCAAAATGGCTTGAGCCAAAATGGCTACGGACTCGTTCTCCTCATCCTCCTCGCCTTCTTCTTCCTCCTCCTCCTCCTCCTCCTCCTCCTCCCCATCGAAGATCATTCAACGCTCCCAGCAGCCAATGCGTGACGTGCCTCTGCCCTCCTCCTTCCCCGCCTAATCCTTCCCCTCTTCCCCCCTCCTCATCCTTCCTCTCCTCATCCTTCCTCTGCCTCTGTCCCTCATCCTCATCCTTCCCCTCCCTCTCCTCAACAATCATCCCCTGGATCTGTCCAGCAATGCGTGCTGCCCAGAATTTCAAGGGGGATCCAGCCGTGGCCACGAAGGGACCCCCCCGGAGGCAGAAAAGGAACCAAAAGCATTCAATCATCTCGAACCTCGGCCTTCGGGCCTCGAGGCTTGATCCTCCTTCGAACTTCCCTCCTCCTCCTCCTCCTCCTCCTCTTCCTCCTCCTCCTCTCGCTCTCTCCTGTTTGAAAAGGAAGGTTTGAGGCGACCCGCCTGTCTGTCCAGCAGCTCGAGCAGCATCTCACGGGAGTCCGGCGACCCCCGCTCGCCGGGAGCGATGGTGCGAACGCTGGGGGGTGACACAGCGGGCAGGGGAGGGAAGGACCCTCTCCCTCTCTCCCTCCCTCGCCCTTTTCGCGCTTTTGTTGTTTCTTCCTTCTCCTCCCTCCCCTCCTCCTCCTGCTCCTGCTCCTCCTCCTCCTCCTCCTCCTCCTCCTCCTCCTCCTCCTCCTCCTCCTCCCCCTCCTCTTCTTCTTCCTCCTTTCCCTCCTCCTCGCCCACTCACTCAGGGAGGGGAGAAGGGAGGGAAGAAGGACTGAGGGAGGGAGGAAGGAGACTGAAGTATTGGCATCTTTTTAGCCTGGGGAAGACTGGGTACGTTCGAGCCATACCTGACAGCCTTCCCTCCCGCCCCTTCCTTCCCATTGCGCTCATTTGTTCTCTTTGTGATAGCGGACCAGGAGCTCCAAGGCTGACCGGGTCGTGCAAATTCTGCGAAATCGGAACATGGAGGTGGGTACATTGGAGGAAGAGGAGGGTGAGGTGGCGGATGGACAGAGGGTTGAGCACGAGGGGTAGGAGGATGCGTAACGATGGGGACGAGGACGAACAGCAAAAGCAATCGCTGAAGTGGAAGGGGTGGGGGGCGCAGCGCATGAGGGCCAGGGGAATGAAAAGGAGAGGGGCGACAACGATGAGGAAGGACGTGGATCCAGAAAAATTGCCCGCGCTGGGGCGAGAGCGCCATTCCGAACGACGCAAACAAAACGCCGAATCCTAACTTTGAGGCCCGCGCCGCAGCCCGAACACCATTTTGACACAATGAGCGCTCTGATGGAAAACGCACCAGAAATCAATGCAACTCCATTTGCAACACAACATGCGGAGAGAGCGGAACCTCGTCTGGACACTGATGAGAGACGGGGGAGTCGCACGCATACTGAGTAACTGTGGAAAAGGAGGAGGGAGGTAGGGAGGGAGGATGAAGGGGTGAGGAAAAGGAGCATGAAGCAGCACTGGCGGTCCCCAGGTCCAAGCCTGGCCGCACACAACACCCGCGAGGTGGGTGCAATCATCACACCCCGGCCTGCACGGCCAGGGACATTGCAAGAGAAAAACAATCCTGCGCCGTAGCAGGGCATGCGGTCGGGGAGGGCAAGATCCCCTCCCGTGCCTGCGGCGCAAACAATACAAACGGCGGCGGCCCCCTGAGCATCGGTCACCGCAGGTCTTGACTACAGCGTTCAAAGGGAAGTAAGAGGGAGAAGATGATGTCATGTCTGTCGAACTCTGTCTGTTGCATCCTTTGTCGGGGGAGTTGTGCTCGAACCGACGAGATGGAGCGTCGGCCACGTTAAACTTCGCGTTGACATACCGCAGCCCCCAACGCACTCTACAACCGATTGTGTAGGCCGCAGCTCGCCGGCACTGCGCGCTCAAAGCTGCTGAGCGGCTGGGCCGCCCTTTGTCCAGGCAGCCAACACAAACCATGGAGTCCACGAGAGAGACTAGGCGGCGTCCGCAATTCTGGCGAACGCGACAGGCATGCCGCAGCCCCATCACAGCAGCGCGGGTCTCCTTCACATTGATGTGCTCTCCAGGCCAGCGCCAGCGCCTCGCCGCTACCAGCTCGAAGCCCTCCGAGTCGAACCAGAGGCGGGCAGCGGCGGCGCCGGGGGGCCCACCTGACCGAGGCACTCGGCGTCGGGATCCTCGGGGTCGGCTGGGCGCCGCCGCAGACGGCGAGGGCGAGGCCGGTGAGGTCTGTCGGAGGCAGAGCCCTCCTCCGCCTTGCTCTGCAGCCACTGGCCGAAGGCCGCGGCAGGGGCGGAGCCAGCGTTCGGCTCGGCGGAGCGGCAACGGGGCTCCACCTCGTGATCCAGCTGCGCCTCGTCTGCCTCCTTGTAGCCGCCCATCTCAGCGACATCAGCGGCCGAAGTCAGACCAACGCGGGGCCTCGGAGGTGCTGCCTGAAGCTCCACTTCTCCTTCCAGCGGAAGGTCGACTGCATCTCCTCGACCGAGGCCCTCTTGTGCATCAGGCCGTACCCGTTGTCGGCGGAGTCGCTGGCATAGACGCGCGGCACGTAGGGCGCAGCCAGGTCGACCTCAGCGAGCCAGACCAGCCCAGCGACCAACCCCATCTCGTGCATGACCTCGCGCGGCAGAGGGGTCCGAACACCCCGGGCGGCCTCGGCGAACCGGCGCGTGGCTGAGAGCGCGGCGTACCCAGGCCTGGCCAGCATCAGCAGCGATACAGCGTGGCCCAGCCAGACCTCCATGTGCCCCCCTCGCATCTTGCCACGACGCAGGAGAGCGCGGGCGGCCAAGTCAAAGCGCCACACTCGGGAGGCCTTGTTGCGAAGCCCCCCCTCTTGAGGTCGATCTCAACGCCCGCGGTCTCGAGGTGGGTCACCACATCAGGATAGGACCACGTGATAGGCAAACCAGATCGGTCAGCTTCAGCCTGCAGGGCGGAGCTTGCCTCACGAGCCAGAGAGGCGTCCCTGCCGAAGACAGTGATGTTGTCCACGTAGACGCTGCCCATGACCTTGGATTCATTCAAGTCGGGGGCGGGATGGTGTTCCTTCACCATGGCAGGCGTCGGTAGAGACGACGAGCGCAGCGCCCGCTTCGTCATAGCGGATACGGCCTTCTGCGCAAAGTACAGAGCCCAGGACCACCCCATGCACATAGCGCGCATGCACGGGTACAAGACCATGTCGTCTTCCACGGAGACCATCATGCTCAGCTCGGGGTCCCAGAACGCTCCGACATTGATGCCGTGCGTGTCCCTGATCTCGGCGGCGGGCAGCGGGTCGTCGAAACCGAACCACTCCGCCAGGCCATCGATGGCGGAGTTTAGAAGCAGTCCTCGACATCGGCCTCGTTCCCGCGGGGGGCCCAGCCTATCACGCTGCCGACACCGTCGACGGACTCGCCACCCACGGAGAGGTCGAGGTCCGCCAGGGCCCCAGCTGAACCGAGTCTTGAAATCGGAGGGGCACGATGACACGAATTGGCCTGTCTAGCATCCACAATCATTCTAATCTCACATGGCTTCTTATTCTTCACAGAGAAAAGGTCAGCGAGAGCTCGGAGTCGACGCCTGAAAGTTATCAGCCCCAGCTCACACAGCACCCTGAAGAGTCGCCAACGCTCTGTCCGACTCGAGCGAAGCACGGGATCCCAGTAAGGACGAATAGGATCGGTGTGCTGGCGCATGAACTCCATATTCCCCTCATCCTTCTCGATGTACAGCGCAGGGTTGCGGATCATGTCCGCAGGCAAAGGCGGCAAGAAGTTAGCCGCAGAGCGAGGTCGAGCGCGCCCCTTTTGCGACCTTGAGCTTTGTCAGATCGAACGGCGCGAGGTTCTTCGGCCCCTGGCAGTACAGGTCCTTAGAAGCTAGCAACTCGCGAGCGGCCCCCTCGGCCGCCAAGCCAGGCGGGGGGGGGGGGGACACAGCGGCAACGCGCTCCGTGATGCTGTCCAAGATCCATTCCTGAACGGCAGTCGGGGCCCGAGATGACTGGCGAGCCTGGTAAACACTATCTGAATTCGGTTGAGCAGCAGCGAGATGGTCGAGCGAAGCCCGCGCCGAGAGCGCTCGCTGTCGCTGCTCGAGGCCCAAGCCCGAGCTGTCGAGCTGAGAGGGCAAAAAATTCGGCAGAGGGAAAGGGTCCCCGTGCCTCCGTCTTGAGGGCCTCCACCGGGTAGCATGTCCCCGATCCGTAGCAGAAGCGTCGGGCCGAGCTCGGGGATCAGACTCGGCCCGGAAGGCCGCGGTCACCCCGGGGCCTCCTCCTCGCCCTTGCTCCCCTTCTCGCCTCTGCCGCGCCCGCGACCACGGCCTCGTTCTCGGCCTGAGTCTGCGGGGGCACGAGAGGTCTGCATGGCCCGCTGCCCCTTGTTCCACAACCGAGTCTGCTTGTAGATCGCGGCCTGCTCCTTGAGACGGCCCGTGACCCACTCCGCGAACCTGTTCGTGCTCGCCTGGCCCTGTTCGGCGGTCGGAGCGCGAAGCAAAATCTCCAGCCCGCCGTAGTCAGGATGGCGAGGGTTGCGAGCCACTGCGGTCTCGTCCTGGCAGATCCTACGCATGATGAGTTCGAAGCTCAACAAGTTTGCCACATCGAGCTGGTCTGTCTGAATGGCCAACCGAACCGACTCGCACAGCACATAATGGATGTGGGCCACCGCCGAGGACTCGCTGACTCCCGAACGGCGAACCCACTGTCCGTGATAAGAAGAAAGATCTCCAGGGCCATCCCGAACTGAAACGAGCCACTCCTTAGCAACTCGCGGCCCAGGCATGGCCCAATCGTCGAAGCTCGTCTCGCGCATCAGGGATACAGCGTCCGATAGCGGAAGATGGCGGCGGCCTGCGGAGTCCCGATGGTCGCCCAAGGTGCGGAGGTCTCCTCCCTCCGAGCTGCGCGAAGCCATCCACTCCTGTAGCTGGTTGCTCTGAACCTTTTCCACAAACATCTCTAGGCCGTTCACCAGCGCCACGCCCTTGGACTGGCCCAAGGTAGCCTGGTCTAACTCTGCATCGACCAGGGGCTGGGCAAACCGAGAGTGACCTACCTCCGCGACGACCCAAACGAAGGTCTCCATCTCGACGTCATGGTCGCTGTCGCCCAAAATTGCCGCCTGAACTGCGGCTTGCCTCTTCAGAGCCAGAATCTCAGCTCGAGGCACAGGATCGAAGCCGTAAACCTCGCCTCGGCGATTCGCAGGGAACATCGAATTGCGGTCCAGGACCAGGTGGCGCTGCTCCAAGAGGTTGTGACGCACGAGCTCCAGGTCGGGGGTGATCGCTATCCACACCCCCGCTGTGATCTTCTTCACCAGAATACGGTGATGCCAGAACATGCCTCCCTCATCATTGGGATAGTGCACGAGTACTTGGGGTTCTGGGATGTCCAACGTGTCCATTGTGCGAACCGGCAGTCACTGAGGGAGCCGAGTCCGACGAGCCACCAAGCACTTCACGAACGCGGCTGAGCAACCCTCGAAGGACTCCAAAGGCCAGCACCGCGGCCCAACTCACCACAACGCCGATGAGAATGCCCACCGTCAGCCAGAAAGCCCAGGCGCACGGGGTCGAAGGTGCCGTCGACGGGCACTCGGTCGCCTCGGGCTGCCTCCCACAGCTCAAAGCGGGGCAGCCTGGGCAAGGCGGGCACGACCCGCAAGTGACAGCGGCTGACGCAGGGCAGGCTGGCACCGCGGGACAAGGAGGAGCTGCTGGGCACCTGCTGAGGTATGAAAGCAGGCCGTTGACAGCTGAATCTTGGAGACGCTGCTGCCACATCGGCCCTCAAGACTTGAGCGAAATAGTTACAGACAGGCAAGCTGACAGAGGCGGGCCGCTACGAAGCGAGAGATATAACAATCAAACATTAAAAATACACTGTCGGCGTTCTGCGCGGATTTCTTGGATCTGCGCTGGGCCCCCCTCCCTGCTCTGGCGCGCAGAGAGCGCCAGGGGCGGCGCCGCAGGCGCCGCTAGGGGGTCCAGCGCAGAGCCAAGAAGTCCGCGCGGACCGTCGAACACTTATGTTTATGTTATTTTTGGTTCCTCGACGATCGGCGATGAATGGACGATGGGGGGGTCGAGACGACTCCCCCTGCGTCTGCCCCCCCTAACGTTGCCCCTGACATGGCCTCGGGGCCGCCTGCGCAGCGGGCTCTGGTGGTGCTCGTATAACCATCTGGCCTGTCGGGGCCGCTTCTGCTGTCGAACGCTCTTGGTCGCGCGGCCTCGGAGTCGTCGCAGGTCCCTGGGGGGCCTGCACCCGCACACTTCGAGCTGTCACAGCGCCTGGAAGGGAAGACGGGAGGTAAGGCGTGAAGGGGCAGGAGGAAGAAGGAGGGAGGAGGAGAGGGATACGATAGCCCAACTAGGAAGGAGGAGGAGGAGGAGGAGGAGAGGGAAGAGGAGGGAGGAGGAGCAGTCACAACTAATAGTAAGGACGCGCTGTGAGGATGCAAGCCCCTTGGACGCCCATGGTGAAGTTTTTTCGAGCGCGGCGGGCCATCGAAAGCAGTTCAGGATGGACCCCTGAGGCACGGATGCAAGGTACCCTTGGGAAGGTGACCCATCCTTGCCATCTGTTTCGACTGAAGGGGTAGGAGAAGCGAGGGAGGGAGTAGGAGGTGGGCGAAGAAGGGAATGCAAGCAGAGTAGGGGGCAGCGAGCACACTGGGAAACTCGCCGAATCGGGATGCCAGCAGCAGGCGGTCGAAAGGAAATGCACTCGTCGATTTCTTCTTCCGTTCTCCTCCTTCCTGCCTCCTCATCCTCCTCCTCCTCCTCCTCCTTCGCTCTCCTCCCTCTCGGGGGTCAGACGGCACGGCGCAAGAAGCCTCGGGGGATAACTGATGGGCACGTTGCGCATCATCACCGTCGTGTGCGCCTCTGCTTTGCTGTTCGAGGTGGACTTTGGGGAGGGCACCTGCGACGTAAAGCGGAAGCAGGGAGGAGCCGGAGGGACGATGACGACGATGACTGTAACGATGACACAAACATCGATGATGACCACGACGACGATGACGATGATGACAGTCCACATGCCAAGAGGAAGGCGACGCAGCAGATGCGCCACCTCTAGGATACCATTTCTTGGGTCGGCGCTGGGACCCCTCCGACGGCACCTCCGGCGCCGCCCCCGAGCCCCTGGCGCGCTTCGCGTGCAGGGAGAGGGGGGATGAGGGGGTCCACCACCGACCCACGAAGTCCACGCAAGCCTTGCGTATCTGTAATGTTTTCTTCGGCGGAATGTTAGCCACCGTGGACCCCAAGCAATAAGATATTGCACTGTGGATGTACGAGCTGTGTGGTGAAAGCTATGTGTTGCAAACTATGTGGTGCAGTAAACGAGGTGCAAGCTCGAGGAGGCCACGGGCGGCAAGGTGGCGAAACCTCGCCGGATCCAGCCAGCGCGCGAGGCAGCACCTATCAATTTGCCTGGTGGCAAAAGTAAGACTCCTGAATGGAACTACTTGTTTGGAAAAGCGAGGGTCGCGGGGCGGGTCGTGGCATGGGTCGCGGGTGGGTCTCGGGTGGATTGCGGGGTGTCGCGGGTGGGTCGCGGGGTGGGGCGACGACAACAGCAGCAATCAATCATTTTACGACTGTTCGCCCTTATCTGCACGCGTGTCAAACAACGTGTATCGAACACCATCGACACCCGCCCTCTTCGTCTTCGATCGTGCCGTGATGGGGGGTACACCCCCTCACCCATACGCCCACTTTTCGAGTGATAGAGAATTTCGGGGGGGAGGAACCAACGTCTCACTCCATCGATGTCACGATCGATCTCCCCATTGATATCACTACTCACTAACGGTCTCACTATATCACTACAAATCTCATAATCGATCTCGCAATCGGTCCCACGATCCTTCTCACGATCGCTCCCACAATCGATATCAGAACCGATACCATCACCGATCTCATCATCGATATTAAAATCGATCCCACTATCGATCTCATTCACACTCACACGCGCCCACACCCCCACCCCTCCTTACTTCCTGTGATTAAAACACCCCCACATCCCCACCGAACCGGCCGATAGCAACCCCGCCGTCCGAACTGTAAAAAAACACCAACGCAACTGTTTCTCGCCAACATGTCGTCGACTTGCGAGAAATGTAGCTCGAATGGGACGGGGTGAACATCGCTTGGGTAACCCCCAGCGGGTGGTCGCGTCCTACCAATCAAAAAGCAATCCAAAGTCAACGTTTTTCTCGTCAACATGGACTTTCTTGTCGTGCAACAGGAATGGGACGCGGCGCACATCGCGCGCGGACGCCTGGCCAACCTTGCGCGGGAGCCCCCGTCCTACCTGCCAAAAAACACTGCAACGTCGACGTGTTTCTTGCCAACATGTACTTCTCTTCGTCGGCACTGCGAATCGCGTAGCGGGAATGGGACGCGGCGCGCATCGCGCGGGGACGCGTGCTCGTCAACATGGACATTCTTGTCGTCGACACTGCGGCCCGTCGGGTTGAGGAGCTGGGCGGGCGGCAAGTCATAATGCCTCAAGCAAGTACGGTTCGCCGCCGGCGCGCCCGTTGTCGCATCCGAGCGTCTAGCCGCCAACGGTTAAGATGAGCGACAGGCGTCGGGCGCGACGCACTTGCTTTTTATGTTGCGGGAGGGCGGGTGGGAGTGGACGGAACACTCTGGCTCGTTCGAGCTGGCTAACTTGACGCCCGCCCATTCCCCCACCACCACCCCCACCGCCCCCACCGCCCACACCCACTTCCACTTCCACGCCCACACCCACACCCACACCCACACACACGCACAGGCACACACACAGGCGCACGCACGCACACGCGCACGCGCGCGTGCACACACATATGCACAGACACACAGGCACACAGAAACACAGAAGCACAGACACACACACACACACATACACACAACACACACACACATAACACACACAACACAACACATACACACAACACACAACACAACGCACACTTAGCTCACATCACATACACACAAAACACACACAACGCACACATCACACAACACATACACACAAAAACACACACCACATACGCAGCACACAACACATACGTACAGCACACACAATGCACACAGCTCACAGCACATACACACAACACACACACCACACAACGCACACAGCACACAACACATCCACACAAAACACACAACACATACACATCACACAACACATACACACAGCGCACACAACACACAGCACACAACACATACATACAACACACACCACACAACACACACACACAGCACACAACACATACACACAGCACACAACACACACACTACGTACAAAGTGGGCCAGTGCTCACTTGGTATCCCGCCTCGCACTTTCGACGAATGACGACTGCATCCCGCGGCCGCCGGGCCCCGAAGTGTGCCAGTGCTCCCTGGGGATTCTGCCTCACTTTCTCTGATGGTAATTTTTTGGTCACAATTGACCGAGCCAGTTTAGATAGCGGCTGCTATAGCAGCCACTCTGAACTATTGCAGAGGGTAGACAGGCACGCAACCACAAGTGCCAATACCTGACGGCAGGACAAGGCACCCTTGGTCATGCGTCTGTCAATCATGCACTAGTCTGACCCCGACTCTGCTCCGCGACGGCGCGGAGCCCGAGGCGCCACATCCTCCTCGCTGCGAAGCAACTTGGACGCAGTCCGCCACGCCGCTCGGGGGTCAGACACGGCCGACGAGGTCGCAGGAGAGGGCCCCACCGGCGCTGCAACAGGGTCCCTGACCTCGAACAACTCACGGGAGGCACCTTCTTCGGCCTCGAACAAATCATCAAACAAGTCCGCTCCAAGCGCAGAAGTCTGCGCGCCTGGAACAACATCATTGCCTTCCCGCCCCGCAGTCCCCACGCCCCCCCGCCCACCAGACTCCTTAGCAGCGATCCTAGCCCTCAGTGGGGCCGAGCACTCCAGAAAAGTCGAGCTCGATGGGGGTGACTTGCACCCGCGAAGCGGTAGAGAAAGCGCAGATTTGCGGCCCAGAAGCAGGTCGCTCTGGGGCCGCGCAAGATACGGGAACGTTGCGCTGGGGGTGCAGGCCCTTCTTGAGCCTGCTCAGCACGTTGACCCCACCGCTGTGCTCTTTCGGATCGCATCTGACGGCCAAGTTGCGCACCTTCTCTTGAGGGTTGCTTCCGCATATCATACAAAAGACAAGCGGCAACTTCTCATCACCTACCTGAGTGCTGGCGAAGCTTGTGGCCGTGATCAGGGGCCTCTGACAACAACTTCTGAAGACTGTGAGAGAGCTCTTTACAGCCCACCTCAGGTCTGCCCTGGAGCCCCCCCCCCCCAAAAAAAAAAAAAACAAAAAAAAACTTAAACGCTTGGAGCGCCTGTGGCCCCGCAGCCACGGCCCCCAGTCGTGCCAACTGGTGGCTTGCGCCAAGACCTTGCGCTGGCGCTCGCGCCTCGGTGGGCGCCGGTGGTGCACCCTCGGGTAACAAGGCCAAACCTTCGCCGCCATTCGCGCCGCCGCCTCGAAGCTCTCTATTGAGCTCTCCAGCTGCTGCCACTCGGCAGGCGACGGCCTGGGGCGCAGGTCGAGAGCTCCTTTGGCCTCGCGGCCCGCTCGCCAGCTGGCCTGGCCGACCCGCCTTTCAGGCAAGGGCAGCTGCTCAATATCTTCTAACTTCCTATGGGCTGGTGTGTGCACAGCTGGGGCCTACTCGTTTCCCTGCATGTGAAGCAAGGCCCCTCGTCTTAACCCCCCATATCGTTGCTTGGCTGACGCCTGGCTGGATGGGTTCATGTTGTGCAACTGGACCGCATTCATGCAATCGCTATACAGAGTCGGTCCGTGCTGGGGCACGTATATAGGGATCGGCGCCAGCTGTAACTGTTCTGCCGCTTGACTTGTTTGCGGTAAGCTGGGCCACACGACCCCCCTTGCTACATGCTGTTGCACGCCTTCAGCATCAAAGAACACCCGCGCATACGCTGCACGGGAGAGCTCACGAATGCTGTGTCTGGCACACGAGCCGCCCCCCGCCTGGTAGAATCTAGTCGTCGTCTAGGTATACTGCAGGAACAACCGATCGTAGGTTAGAACCTGGAAAAACTTAAGGAGGAGGAAGACATCGAATAGCATGAAGAACGATAACACGAAGTAAGGGAAGTGAAGGTGTTCTTTGAGACATATGCCAACGATCACTCCAAAGCGTATCAAGGACCAATAAGCCCATGCGCACGACTGCGACCATGAGCTCACTGCGCCGCTTACATGAAGTGCGCGCCTGGAAAGTAATCCATCCCGACGCAGTCGTAACTCGAGGTTGTCTTCCCCGCCATGAGGGCGTGATCTTGTAGAGGGCATTGAGTTGCTTCCGGAAATCGCCGAAAGACTCGCACTGGCACTCGGAGACGAGGTGGCGCAAACTAGGCCACACCTCCTCGCCACAATAAGGACACCGTTGCGCTGTGCACCGGCGTCCCCGGGTTGGCGACGAGGTCGCTCCACGCATGAAAATAAACACTTTTGAATAGCGTTCCGCCGGCAAGGCATCGCGAAAGGTCTGCCGAGGCTTCTCTGACAGGGACGACACGTCGACCTCCTCGACGCCTTCAGCATCGTTCCGTGTGTGTCTGGCGAAGGAGAAAGCGCGCACTCGGCATATCTGCCGGAAGATGTGCGCCACCTCGCCCCCTTCGTCGCTCCAGACGGTCTTGCGCCGACCAAAAAGCCGGACGACTCGGTGGTCGTGCTCCTGTTCACGACGGCCGAAACGGACGCCGCGGTCGTCGTGGAAGGTCAGGAAGTCCAGGCCCACGGCATCCAGGCACTGCTCGAAATTACGCTTCAAGAAAGAGCTCCACTCCAGGTCCCACGTCGTGATCCTCTATCGCCGTGGGAACCGCGGTAAATACTGGGTGCAGGTTGAAGTTGAGGGCCCAGAAGCGCCCCTTGCACCACCACGTGCGTTTCGTCCGTAAGACGGCCCTCATCACCTCGCCCGTGGCCTGGGGCGGCGCCAGGGAGAAAACAGGGCAGCACCACAGCCGCAGGGGCTTCGCATCTGCGCCCACAGCGCGCGATCTGGTCGCGGCTGATCCTGGGAGGCCCCGGATGGCTTCGAGGCGCTTGTGGAGCTTGGACAAACCAGCCCCCGGCGTGATGTCCACGTCTGGGTCATCAGGTACATCTAGAATGCCCACGTGCTCGATGGCTTCGCCTCGGCCGCGCACCCAGTGCTGCCGCTTGGACTCGTTCTCGATGGCACCGGTGCCAGTGTCGAACTCGTTCGTGCTCTGGATGTCGGAGTCGAGCTGCGCCTCGGAAGAGCAGACCAGCGACCGGTCATCCATGAAGAGGAACTTCGTGCCGTGCGTAGTCCACGGCGAGAGGACCTCGCATAAGACTCTTGGCGCGCAGCTATCGCCCTGGGCCAAGCTGCGCGTCGGCCAGATTTCTTCGTCAGCGAGCCCCCCTGCAACTTGGCATATGCGGGGCCCCGTCCACGCAGCGTGGGCCACGGCAGTGACCAGCTGGGGCGTGCCCGACTTGTGCAGCGCAGCGAGCCCAACCTCGTGGGGAACGTTGTCGTAGCACTTCGATAAGATAAGTCTCTCTCGGCGCCGCAATCGCCCTCCTCGCAAGATCAGGGCAAAGGCAGCGCTCGTGGGCAACGGATGTCCCAGACTTGCACGCATATTGAGCTTCTTATGGCGCAGGTAAGCTTGGTTCGCAGGCCGTCAGCCAGGGCCGGAGCAAGCGCGACCCCACGCCGATGGGGCGGCTCTGTGTCGGATCCTTTCTCGGCGCGCCGACGACGCGCCAGCAGAAGAGCAGCCGTTGAAGTTCTCGCAGGGCGTCTTGGCGCCCGAACTTGATACCCTCCTCCGAAGCAAGGCCAGCCTCCGCGAGGAAGAAGCAGGTGTCGCACCAAAGGTCATACAATTCCCGCACAAAGAACTCGAGCTGGGAGGCCATGAGCTTGAGCTCGGAAGAATGCCAGCCGTCGTAGCCGGCACCCCCTTTGCCCTTCTTCACCGCCTTCACAAAATCAGCATAAGTGGGAACCCAATCTGCTGGACACGTAGAAGTGGGAAGCGGCTCGCGCATCTGGGACGCGTACCATTTCCACTGCTCTGCACACTGCTTGCCGTCGAAAGTGCTGGGTGGGCACCAGATCTGCTTCCACTCCTTGGCCATGTCGTTTGCTGTGAAACTTGGGCACTCCCCGCTTGGCTTGAGGGCCCCGGAGGCCGCCTTCCAAGCTTCAGGGGTGAAGGTTTTGAGCAGCTGCTTCCAGTCGCTCAAGACCTGCTTCTGGAGCCGGCCTTGCTCGCGAATGATTGATTTAGACACTAGGTCATGTGCTCTGCCGTAGGATGGGACGCCCGAGCCGTCGACGTCGATGTATCCACGCAGGCATTCACGTACAAATTGATCCAAGAGACCGCCCTCGAGAGGGCGCTGTGGACCATCGCGTAGACCATGGGCTATGCGCCGGCCGAGCCGCTTGAGCCTCGCCAAAACGATCGGCTCGTTGGGTCGCCGTGCCGGCTCAGAAGCAACGGGTCGCGAAGAGGGTGTGGATCCCTTCGGCCGCTCGCCGCCCTTGGACTGCCCCAGCAAGCCTTGGGTGACTCCAACCTGCATAGCAAGCTCTGCTCGCGCGTGCCATCGATGCCATCGCTCAAGAAGAGGGTCGGCGCGGGGCAGGACAGGTAGACGCTGCCGTACTTCAGCTTCAAGGGCTTGGATGTCCTCCGGGAGGACAAGAGCATCAGGGTCACCGACGCACAGCGCCGCACGGTGTAGCCTTGTGGTGCGCCTGGGGGCGTGGAGCACGCCAACTTGGTAAGTAACCAGGGCGTGGTAGGGGATGCCCTCCACGAACTGCGACGACAACTGCATGAGAGCAGCGCCCTTGGCCAGGGCGCGCGTGGGAGCTGTGTTCATAACTGTGGTGCTTTGGGCCTCGCACATGTCGACGCCGTCGTAGACGCGCTGCTTGTAGCAGGGCCGTCAGTTGAGGTCACCCCCGACGACCCAGAGAGGTGAGCCCGAATAATGTTGTTCTGCAAACTGGATCACCTCCTCCATCCAGGGCACCGACGCACAGCTAGCGGGCCCATGGGCACTGACAAAGGTGCCGCAAGCCACACGGATCGCCACGTAGCGGTGGGAGCCACGGCGTACTGCGGCCTGTCCCAAAGATGGTTTCCAGAAAATGGCCGCCCCACCCTGCATGAGGACGCCCTTCGCGTTCCGGTTTGGCGGCGTAGAGCAAGCTGCCCGCCACCCGTATCTGAGGGCCGTCGAAATCACCCAGCCCGGGGTGCTCGAGGCCAGGCGGACCTCCTGGAGGAGCAGGACGTCCACGTGCTTCAGGGCCTGGTGGCCCAGGATGGTCCCCGACCGGTCCTTCCGCAGCGCGGTGACGTTGAGCGTCGCCACCTGCAAGAAGCGTGAGCAGGGACCCGGTGCATTAGCGAACGACTTGCTCTCCGTCGCTCCGGAGGTCTCGCCCCGCCTCCCCGGAGAAGATCATGAGAAATACCGATTGTATCAGCATCAACATGTGCAGCGTTTGCATCAATCTGTCCAGGAGCAGCAAAACAAACTGGAACAGTCTCAAAAACATCGCGAGTGGCACGCTCAGCATGCGGACATGCGTGAGACAGGTCCTGGCCAGAACCTCCGAGAGGACCATGAAGACGTCGAGGACCTGCCAGAACATGGTCCCGGCCAGAACCTCCGTAGAGAAGACGGCCCGCCTCAGGGAGAGGAAGACCGCGAAAACATCGATGAGCACGTCCAGCACGCGCACCTGCTGAAAACAGATCCTGGTCAGCGCCTCCACGAGGAACACGACCCGGCTCAGCAACAAGAACATCGTGAAAACGTCGATGGGCACCTCTAGCGCGCACACCTGCTGGAAATACATCCCGGCCAGCGCCGCCGCGAGGAAGAGGACCCGACCCAGCAAGATCTTGAAAAGGTCGATGGGCACATCTAGCATGCAGACCTGCTGGAAATCGATCTCGGCCAACGCCGCCGCGAAGACGACGACCCGGCTCAGTAGGAGGAGGACCGCGACAAAGTCGATGGGCACCTCGAGCGCGCGCACCTGCTGGAAAAGCAACCCGGCCAGCGCCTCCGAGAGGAAGACGACCCGGCCCAGCAAGAAGATCTTGAAAAGGTCGATGGGCACATCTAGCATGCAGACCTGCTTGAAACAGATCTCGGCCAACGCCGCCGCGAAGGCGACGGCCCGGATCAGCAGGGGGAAGACCGCGACAAAGTCGATGGGAACCTCGAGCGCGCGCACCTGCTGGAAAGACAACCCGGCCAGCGCCTCCGAAAGGAAGACGACCTGGCCCAGCAAGATGAAGATCTTGAAAAGAAAGACGGGCACATCTAGCATGCGGATCCGCTGGGGAACCAACCCGGCCAGCGCCTCCGAGAGGGAGGCGACCCAGCCCAGCAAGAAGATCCTGAAAAGGTCGATGGGTGCATCTAGCACGCGAACCTGCTGGGAACAGATCTCGGCCAACGCCGCCGCGAAGACGACGACCCGGCTCAGGAGGAGGAGGACCGTGACAAAGTCGATGGGCACCTCGAGCGTGCGCACCTGCTGGAAAAAAACAACCCGGCCAGCGCCTCCGAGATGAAGACGACCCGGCCCAGCAAGAAAAGGATCTTGAAAGGATAGACGAGCACAACTAGCATGCGGACCTGCTGGAAACACATCTCGGCCAACGCCTCCGCGAAGACGACGACCCGGCCCAGCAAGAGGAAGACTGTGACAAAGTCGATGGGCCCATCTAGCGCGCGGGGCTGCAGGAAAGACATCCCTGCCAACGCCTCCGCGAAGAAGACGGCCCGACGCAGCTCGAAACATATTATGAGAATGACGAACAACACCGCGACGTCGTCGGAGGGCACGTTCAGCGCGCTCCTCTACTTCAACACGTTCCCGGCCAGGTACCTCGCGAGGGAGGCGCCCCGGTCCAACACAAAAAACGGCATCAGCCCTTCGAGGTGCACGTCCAGCATGCGCACCTGCTTGGCCATGTTCCCAGCTCGGTACCCCGCGAGGGAGGCGCCCCGGTCCAGCTCGAAGAACGGCATGTGCCCGTCGAGGTGCACGTCCAGCATGCGCACCTGCTTGGGCATGTTCCCGGCCAGGCCACTCAGGAAGGTGAGAGGCCCTGGCGGCCCAACATGGACCGCTAGCATCGCGATGAGCAAGCCTGGCGCGCGCCCTCCCCCTCCCCCCCCCCCGCCAGCCGGAACGCTGACGGGGGTGAGGGGCCTTCGCCGGCTTGCGGCCGGCACCCGCTTCTGCTGCTTCAGGGCCCGGCGGCGCGCATTGCGCGCGTTCTTGTCCGCCGCCCTGGTGCGTTTCTTCTTGTGCATGGCCTTGTTGAGCAGCCTCCGGGACTGCGCGACGTCGGCCCTGGCGGCGTACTGCTCCCACTTATCCTGCCGCTGCTGCTGCGCCGCCGCCGACTTGCACTCGGGGGTAGCACGCCACTTTTTCCGCCTCCTGGTCTCGAGGTCCAGGATGCGCTTGGCCCTCGTGCGGCCGACAGTGCTCGTCAGGTACTGGAGGCGCGTGAGAGACGCCGGTCGTTTGGAGCACGGGGCCCAGGCTAGGTGGCTCGCTTCGCGAACAATGCCGCAGCGGAGGCACCGATGCCCCGTCTTCACACCATAGGCGCGCGGCATGTCCGTGACGGACGCCGGGTTAAGGTCGCAGACGCCGGCGCGCACCTTCACTGGCAACTTGGCGATCCACTGGTGGATGCCGGCCAACTGCCGCTTGCGCTTGTTCTCGCGGATGTGCGGCGCGTTGGCCATGAACTTGCCGATGGCGGAGTGCGCCATCTTGGTGATCTTGGGGGGCGGCATGCCTTGGCATTCCCGCCAGTGCTTGGTGGCTGCGCTGAGCCTCTGCGCGGCCGTGCGCCCCTGAAAGAGCCAAGGTGCTGGCCACCCACGCGTGCACTTGTAGCAATCCCTGGCCGCGTAGTCCAGGTCCAGCCCTTCCATCATCCCCTTGAACTCGCCCTGAAGCCCCAGCACGCTCGCAGCGCCCTTGGAGCACACAGGATCAGCGGTCTTAGCCTTGGCTGACTGTGCGCGGCCAGCGCCAGCAGAACCAGCGCCAGCAGGACCAGCAGCGCTGAGGGAGAGGCCCAGCAGGGACATGGCGTCCTCGTCCAAACCTTTCCCTTGGAGCCCCACGGCGGGGTAGGGGAAGGCATTGCCCCTCCAGAGCTTCAGTGTGCTCTTGAACTCAGCCAGATCGGTGACGCCCTCCTTCGGGTCCAGCCACTCGTAGTGGTGAGCTTCAGCCACATTTCCTTGGCCTCTGGCTTTGCTTTCGCTTCCCGGCCGTAGAGGGTCCACGTGGTGGGCCCCTTCTGCTGGGACCAGACGTAGATGTCCGTCTTGGAGGCTTCCGATAGCAGCCGCGCGGCGAGCGATGTCGCCTGGCGCGCCTGTGAGGCCAATGGCCTCCGCATCCTGCGCTGCGGCATTGAACTTCTTCTTGAGGGCCAGCGACTGCGCCGGGAGCCGGAGAGCACCCTGCAGCCGCCCCTCGGGCTCGAAGTCCTTCGCCGGAGGGGCCCGGGCGGTCGGGGGGACCGCCTGAAATCCGCGGGCCGCCTCGATGTAGAAGCAGTCGCCGCCGCCTCGATTGTGGAAAAACTTCTTGAATGGTGGATCGTGTGGATTGCCCACTGCTTGACCGTCTTGGCCTCTGCGGCGCTGCGCATCAGGCTCGCCTTGGGCAGGCGCTGCCGCAGGTTTCTTGCCCCCCATGTTGACCCCGTGTCGGCGGCGGCAGCCGCTCCGCCTGAGGGCGCAGCTGGCGGCCCCTCCTCCTCGGGGAACTGCTCCGGGGGCTCGGCCTGTGGCGTAGGCTTCGGGGCGCCCCAGCGGTTGCGAGCTGGCCCCCCTTCGTCATCTTTGGCTTTCGTCGGCTTGGTGCCGGTGCGGGCCAGGGCTCGCGTGACCACCATGCCAGAGGAGAAGCTGAAAGTAGTGGCGGGCACTCCGTCCGGGGCGTCCGCGAAAAACGCCCAGGCGCGCGGCCCTGCTCGACTGGCCTGGGCAACGCGGAGGAAGCCGCGCCCAGTGGCCCATTCCATCATCTCTGTTGGCGCGAGCCAATTCGGAGGCGCGTGCTTGACGAACCACTTCGTCAGCTCTGCAGCTCCCGGCGCAGTCGCGATAGAGCTGACTACTCCTAGCTGAGCTTTGTGGTGGGGTCGATAAAGGAGAGCCCCGCGCCTGCCGTGCACCAGCTGGCTGACGCGGGTGCAATGAGCCTCGCCCTCCTCGTCGTCTCTGCGGCTGAACCACTTCGGCACCTCCTTGGAGCTCTGGGGCATCACGAAGCAACCGACCGGTGGGGTAACCTGCTTGATCGCGTCGGCGTGGCATGTCGGGACAGTCACCACGCAGGCGGCCTCCGACTCGTAGCTGATCGCACCACGCGTGCGAAGGACCTTCTCCGCAGCAGAATCGCCAAGGACCGCTGCAAGGATGGTGTGAGGCTCGTTCTTGGCTTGCTGGTAGATCGCTTCCGCGGCAAACTCCTCCACCACCGTGATACGGAAGGTGGCCAAAGTAAGCTTCTCAGGAGCAATTGGGCTGTCGTCCGTCATCTTCGCATGCAGATTCGTGCGCCGGGGCGCTTGGTCTCCCGCAAAGTAGATCTGAACTTTCATCTTGACGGGGCCTTTCGGCCCCTCCACCAGGACGACCTCGGGCCCCTGGGGGTCAAGGACGAACGTAGTGATGTCGGTCCGGTTGCCCATGGCCTTCCGGACTCGGTCATTGGCCTCGTATTCGGCGGCGGAGAGCGCGAGCACGACGAGCGGCGCCGTCTCCGTCTCCATGGAAGTCTTCGCCGTCGAGGCTGCGATGATCTTGGTCGTACCCCACGGTTCGTTGACCAGGCGCTGCTTCGCCGGGCTCGAAGGGCTCGCACCCCCTGGGGTCTCCAGAGAGTCCCAGGCAGGAACATTAATCGAAAAAGTTGCGAGGACCTCGCGCAACTTGTTTACGACCTGGGCTTGGGTGATCGGCTTGCCGTTGATCTTGCCGCCGTTCTCGATCTGCCCGAGAAGGCTGCGCAAGCGGGTGAGAATGAGGAGCTCGGTGGGCTCCCTCCTCCTCCTCGGCTCGGCCTTGGCTTTGGCTCGGGGCTGGACCGTCGGGGCGGTGGCCTGGCCCGTGAGCTTGGTCTGGAGCTCTGCGACGGCGGTGGCCAGCGCGGAGAGCTGCGACTTCATGGTGTTTTCGGTACGCAGGCGCTTGCGAGTCCTGCTGCCTCCCTTCCCTCCACCTCCATAGAGCGGATCCCCATGCGCTCGAGGTAATTCGGAAGACATGCACCGGGTGAAAAAGTCCTTCTCGTCAGATCCCACAGGCAAGAAGTGGTTCACTAAAGACCCGATCGGCTCGAGCGTGAAACTGTACTCGTACTCGGTCGCACCGGTGGACTGGTGGTTTCCGGCCAGGTCCCCCAAGTAAGAGTCGCAATGCCCCCCAAAACTGCACTGGTCAAAACTCTCCTTCCCCACTGGGCCCATGGACGAGAAGAGGCCCCCAAAAAACTCGATCGGTTCGAGCGTGAAACTGTTGTGCTCATTTTCATTCGTGCTGGAAGTCGAACGGCTCCCCGGACCCCAGGGGCAACGCGTAAGAACATCCTCCGACGGCTCCCAGGAATAGGAATCGAGGCAATCCCCGGCTTCGGTGCATGCCGTTCCGGCGATTTTGCAGCACGTCGGGCCCGGGAGCGCAGCTCGTCGGCCGCGCTTTTGGCCCCTTTCGCGGCGCCACCTGGCCCAGCGAGCCAGCGACGCCCCCGCCACCGCCAAGGCCACGATGACGTAGCCAGGGGGCTGCTGCTTGGTGGCCTGGTAGAATCTAGACCCATCGAAATCCCCCCATGGAATCTTTTGCCCACCCATGTCGAACAACTCTGGCTCATGCACCTCCGAAAGAGCTGGCCAGTCGGCCGCGGGGTGCTGGAGCTTGAGAGCCTCGAAAAAAACTGCGCGCCCCCGTTCTGGGCGCGCTCGGGGAAGCTGGCGGGAACGTCCGCTGCCTGCCTCGCATCTAGTACATCTGGATGCTGGCAGCGAAAGAGGCGATGCCCTACCGAGTCAGGCGCCTGGCACAGGGGGCAGATGCCTGGGGTGATGTACCCCGACCGTTGGGCCCTATCCTCGGTCCAGAGACCATCACAAAAACGCGCCATCACCAAATGCTTACCCTGGGTATTAAGACCGATCCCATTGGCCCCAACCTTGGTGATTCTCCTAATGGGTTCCACGCAAACACGGGTACCAGTGGTCCAACCGAGCTTTTTGCCCAACACCCGTTCGTGGTGCCTCTGAACCCCCAGGCTAAGCCAATGGCCCACCATGGACGGGGCGGTGTACAGCAAGGAAATCTCCGCGCCATCATCATCGGGCCAGTCTAACGGGGCGTACGCTTCCCAACCGATACGCTCCAAAGACAAGTGCATTCGACTGATGGGCCCTTTACTCTTAGCCAAGGTGTGGCCGGTTTGCGGGACGGTCCGCCACATGCTGCACAGCTCCTGCACTGAGAAAAAGGCATGCTCAGGTCGCGCGACCACCGCCCAGACAGCATAAGACCACGCCAGGGCAGGAGCAATCATGCTCCGCCAGAGAGGGTCTCCCAGCAACGCCGTCTTGGCCCTCAGGGAGACGCCGGCATGCCTCGGGACCTGCCACGACAACATCGCACTTCGCGCACGCTTAAGTTTGGCATCGCTCATGCCGACGACCGTGTCGCCAAAAGTCAGCCCTGGTTTGACCCCCGCAGTGTATATCTAGACTATTCTGAAACGTTCTCTAGGCAAGGACTTACGATACTTACACAGGATACGGCGTCTACGGGCCATGTTCTTAAGATGCCCCTTCTCTTACTAAGGTGCCCTTTCCTGTACCTCTCGCCCCCTGGGGCCAGATCGCATCCGAAGGTCGCCATGTGGGTCCCCACGTCTCCCGCCAGCTTTCCGAGCCGCTGTCCGAGGTTACGAGCGACGCTGGGGGAGGATCCAAAGGTCATCAACTTATCTTGAGCAAGCTTGACCCCGAGCTCCTGCGCGAAAGCTCGGTGCAAGTCCTTCGCTGCCTCCGCCAAACGCTGGATGACTTCGGCCTCGAGGCCGTGCGACGACGCCGTATCGTCGCCCACATGCGATGCCAGGTCGATGTCGGGGTTGCGCGCCACAAACCCGTCGAAAGGCTCGAGCGCATACACTCGCACGAATATGTCGTTAAACATTGACCCAGCTGGCAGCCCGCTCTCGGCGTGCAACACCGCCAGCGCATGGTCCGTGCCTAAGCGGAGGATCCTGGGCCCCCCTCCAGAAGTTATACGTCACTTTGAGGATCGCAGGGTCCAACCCAGCACGGCGCCCACGGCCCCTCAGGACCTTGAGGTCGAAACTTTCGCAGTGCTTCGACCCGTCCCGAGAGAACCCCGCGGCGACCCCGCCTTCGGCCACTCGGGCCTCCGCTTTGACCGCCTGGTTCCACACGCTGCCTTCCGCCGACTTCCCCGCTCCGAAGGACCAGTAACGTCGGGGGTGGCGGTCGTTAAAAAACGTCAGTCTGGGGCGACGCACTCGCCCCCAAAGCCTAACTGGGGGCGAACACAACAAAATCGGGCGCAAACTCCCTTCGGGTTTCTCAAGGAGGGAGAAGAGCATCCAATGCAAGGCTTTGGGCAAGAGCCCCAGCTTCTCAACGCACTGAAACACGCAGGCGAGGCGCTCCAGTCCCTCGTCCGACATGCAAGCGAACTGCCGCACGTGCACCCCGTCCAAGGATTGAGCTGTGCGCGTCGAGAACATCTTGGAGGCGGATCTCAAACCGGCCGCCGTCGCTCGTCCAAACTAATGTCTGTCGGGAACGTCCACGGGTGGGGGGATGCTGGTAGCGTTCCAGAAACCCCTAAAACATCAGCTTCGTGGGCCAGCATCACACGAGAGTCCGGCGAGAAGATCCCAGGACTGGTTTCTATCACCGTCGGTTGCCAATGCGCCTTCAATCTGGTTAAACGGTGCATCTTCCGAGCCGGGCCCGACGGCGCTTCAGTCTGCCACTGGTCCCAACTTTGTTTGGACTTGCGGTCCAGCCCGTCACGGGCCCCTTGAAAATCGTCGGCCCAACTCTTCCAGAGTCTCCGGGCAGTGTTCCGTCACCCAGCAAGCGCAACAAGATCCTGCGGCCGCGCCGCCGCGAGCTCTCGCGCATTGCGGACAGTGAGGTCCAGTCTCGGCGACAAGCCTTCAGCTTCAAACGGCTGGGAGATGATTCGCAACAGACTCACGGCAGCTTCAACCTCGGACTGATCCACGAAGTTATCGCCCTGCGTCAACAATCGCAGGCTGGTGCTGCGAAGATCAGTCATTCTTTGCTGCAGCCACGCCCGTCCCTCCCCAATGCGCACTTCGTTCTTCTCTTTGCACCTCGGGGGGGGAGGGGGGGGGGGGGCGCGGGCACCCATTTAGTCTGCAACTGTCTGTTTGCCTTTCAAACCTTTACGCTTGACGGGGCCCCCCATTCGGCTTTCCAGCTCTAACTCCATAGTGTCCGAGAAAACCTTCCAGGCCTGATCCAGGATCCCCCAACTCACCACAATCTCATCGTAATCAGCTCTACGATTGGCCTCCTCAGCCACAGCACGAGCCACAGACCAATCGATCGGGGGAGGGGTAGGCCCAGTGGGCAACGCCACTGGCAGCTTCTGGTGGGTTTGATAAACTAATTGCCAAAGCTTCGCAGCCCGCCACTTGCCGTCGACCTCCGCAGCCTCCACGAGCTTGCAGAAGGCCGCCGACGACAGGAAATAATCAATCTTGGTGTCTGAGGCTGCATGATGACCATGGACTTTTTTCGTGGCATACCCGACGCCTCCGCCGCCACTGCCGAAACGTTCCAATCTGCAGCGAACGCCGATAGATGCACGCCTTCCAACGTAGCACCTGCATGCTTTAAAATATGGAGGTTCCTCTTACTGAGGACTTCGCTGGTGTACATGTACGCGCATCCTGCTAGAAATCCTGGTCATCCAGGGATGCCGGTCGTGGCAAACATGAGTCAGTGCGGAACCAGGACCCCTCTGGGTAACTGTTTCGGCAATCGGAGACCTATCGTGGCACGAGCCAGAATCGCCACTCCCGCAGACGTTTGCCCACTAGCACACTTAACTGACGGCGTGCGCAGCATATTCCACCCCAAACTCTTGGTCGTCGAGGTGCGCGCTGCAAGGTCTTCTTCGACAATACGCACTTCTTGAGCGAACACCACGAGAGCCTGTGTGCTCGCTAACCTCTTCTCGAGAGTGCCCCAACTGTTGCCATTGCACGTTTCAAACGCACGAGCATGGCCGTCAAAGTCGGCTGGGGCGGCGGATTTTGGCGGGAAGCCAACTCCGCGGGCAGAAACACGCAACCCCGTGCACATAGGTCCTGGATCAGACCTTACACGAGCACAAAAAGATTGCCTCGTCGGCCTGAAAACTTCGATTTGCCCAGGTGACTTGGCCTCACTCGCGGGCTCTCGCTCGCCGAAGTCGCCGCCCTGACCATGCAACAGCACGTCGGGCAGGTACCGCGCTGCCTTCGCATCCCAGTACTGCTGCGCCGCCAGCCAATCGTCGTCGCAGGTGACCGAGAAGAAGACAACGGCCTCGACCGGCAGCACTCGAGCATCATCACGAAAACCTGCGCCAGACGGCCCTGGCTGTCGTGACATCTCCAGGCAGTTTATCTTCACCGCTTCAGACAAAACGTTTGGGCGAATTGCCCACGCCATTGGCCGTGGGCCATGTCCCTACTGCCCACGATGGGCGAGTGTCAAAGGGACGCCGTCTTGGGCTTCTTGAGCTTGGCCCCCATGAGCGCCTGGGTGAAAGCACGCTTGTCACCTCTGTGCTTCTCCAAAAGGCCTCCGCAAAAGGCCTCGTCAGTGAAGGCGTCGCCCATCTCTGCGTCAAGCGGGGTGGGGACATCGACTCCTCCATCTGCGGGACTGCTAGAATCTGACTGGGCACGAGCACCAGCAGCAGCGTAGTGCGACATGAACAACCTCGCGAACTCCTGGAACTCGCTCGAGGCCAGCATGGCCTTGAGCTCATCCTTGCCTTCGAGCATCTCCGCAGGCAGGTTAAGATCCAGCGGCAGACCCTTCTCTTCAGCAGCAGCAGCACCAAGAAGAGACTGCACATGCTGGCGTTGAAGTTCTGCCACTTCCGCCTCGGCGGCGGCCCGCCGAGACTTGATCTCATCTGTCTTGGCGTTGAGCTCCGCGAGCAGCTTGACGTGCTCCTCGAGCTCACCCTTGACCTTATCGAGCGTCGCCGACGCGCGCACCAGCCTGTGGCCCACGTTGGCGTGCTGGGTGATGCTCGGCTTCCTGCTCTCGATCTCGGCGCGCACCATCGTGAGCTTCCCCTCCAGCACCGTGCGCGCCTCGGCAGTGTCCTCGCCTTTGCCACATCCTTTGATGGCCAGCTCGAGCTCCTGAGCCCTCGCCTGCAGGCCATCCTGTTCATCTCCGCCTCCTCCGTTCGACTGGCTGCCTGGTGCGGTGCCGCCACCTTGGGTGCCAGCCGCACGGTGTTGCTTGCCGTCGCCCATGAGCTGGTCAGTCCGCATCTGCATCGCAGCAATCTGGGACTCCAGCTTGGCATCTCGCTTGGATCCTGCAGCGGGCAGACGCCCTTTAGTAGGATCAGCACGATCATGGCTCCCACCACCAGCGCCGAGCGCCTTGGCGCGCTGCAGCACGTAGGCGGGCGCTCTCGCTCCGCAACGGCACCGCAGCCTGCACGCCCAGTTGCTTGTGAGCCCGCAGCCCTGGCACGCCCAGAACGGCGTCTTGGACCCTCTGACCACGTCCCCTCCGTCCATGGAGACCGCTGTGAGACAGCAGCCGGTACCCTCGGAACGCCGGGGGACGAAAGATGCTCCTCCAGGAGCTCACTGAAAGCCTGAATGCACGGGGGCCTCGAGCCGCCCCCTTGGCTGCGAATCAGGCTCCAACGGCGGGAGCCACGTTGGAACTTGAGCCAAAATGGCTACGGGCTTCTCGGACGAGGATCATGTGTTCTTTTTTCAAACCATCCTGTGGTCTTGAAATTTCAAGATAGAGCGCCCCTCATTCTCACTCCTCCCGCTGCCCCTCCTCCCCCACTCCTCCTCGGATCCATCCCAGCCTTTACCCTCTGTGTGTTACTTTTTCGGCACACCCTTGACGCGTTCCGTGACCCCGCCCCGCTCCAGTGGCAGCGCCCGCATGCGGTTCCACCCCCATTGCGGTGCACACCCTCACACTCTTCGCGTCCCCATAGGGAGTTCCACAGAAGGCCCCGGTGGCAACGCCCGCATGCGGTTCCACCCTCCATTTCGGCACACCCATCACACGCTTCGTGGCCCCACGAGGAGCTCCACCGAAGGCCCCAATGGCAGCGCCCGCATGCGGTCCCATCCGCCACTTCGGCTCACCTCTCACACGTTTGGTGGCCTCATGGGGAGCTTCACCGAAGGACCCAGAGCAGCGCCCGCACATGCTGTTCCACCCTCAATTTCGGTGACCTCCTCACACTTTTCGTTGACTCATAGGGGGCTTCACCGAAGGCCCCAGTGGCAGCGCCCGCATTCGGTTCTACCTCAATTTCGGTACATCCCTCAGACGATTCATGACTCCATAGGGAGCTCCACCGAAGGCCCCATTGTGGTTCGGCACACCCCTCACACGTTCTGTGGCCCCATAGGGCTATGCCATAGGGAGCTCCACCTAAGACTCCAATGGCAGCGTCGTATGCGGTCCCACCCGCCATTTCGGCTCACCTCTCACACGTTTCGTGGCCTCATAAGGAGCTCCACCGAATGCCCCAGTGGCAGCGCCCGCGTGCGGTTCCACTCTCCACCCCCATTGCGGTGCACACCCTCACACGCTTCGTGGCCCCATAGGAAGCTCCACAGAAGGCCCCCGTGGCAGCGCCCGCACGCGGTTCCACCCTCCATTTCGGCACACCCATCACACGCTTCGTGGCCCCACGAGGAGCTCCACCGAAGTCCCCAGCGGCCCCTGTTGCTGGCAACCCTCCTTCATGTAATTTTCCTCGCGATGCTCGAAGACCCCAGTGGCAGCGCCCGCATGGTGGTCACGTCACATTTCGGCGCACTCGTCACGCGCTTCGTGGCCCCACAAGGAGATCCACCAACAAAAACTACTCACAGCGACTGTACTCGCAACAGGGTCCTTCGCCAACCTTATGTTCTCAGCGCTTCTTGTTACGTCCGTCTCCATGCCGCGCTTAGACAGGTCCAGAAGCACCAACAAGTTCGCCCCCAGTGGCAGCCCGTGCCAAACAGGCCGCCAAATGGTGGGTCGAGGAGAGCTGGCGGTCGGTACGGCTCCTCGGCATGGGTCTGCGAGCGGGAGCGAAGGTCCAAATCTGCGTGAGCCTCAGGACCCGATGAGCCGCCAGCACGGAGGTCATGCTTCAATACAGAATCGGCGCGCTCCGTCGCAAAGTCGGGCGGCACTGGCCTCACGTTTCGGGGCGCACCTTCGCCGACCAGTGGTTCTGGCGCCCTCGCGCCAGAACCATGGATCCCTAATCCACGTTAGCGTGTGCCCAAAAAATCTCGAGGCTGATCTTTCACATTCCACCTCCTCCCCCGCATGCCCGCGGGAGGATGAGGAGGATGGCGAGGATGATCGAAGAGCAATCAGCCGCGTAAACACAAGCTTTCACAAGTCCGTGCGGATTTCGCGGCCTGCCCTGGCGCATGGGGCGCTCTAGTGTCGACCCAGGAACCCGCGCGGACCTGCTCTTCGACAGGGGATGAGGAGGAGGAGGAGGAGGAGGAGGAGGAGGAGGAGGAGGAGGAGCAGCAGATAATGAGGATGATGACGGAGGACACGGCCATCCCGCCAGTATCTCTCCAACGCAAAAACACCAAGAGGAGGATGAGGACGATGGGGGAGGAGGAGGAGGAGGAGGAGGAGGAGGAGGACGACGGCACCAACATCATTAACACAACATGCGCCTTGTGCTCGGCGCGGGGCTTCGCCGGATGCCGCCGCTGCGACAGCAGCGTGGGCGC